TTTGTTCATCACTTATAAAACAGGAGAAAAAAACAATACTGAAGGTCCAGCAGGAGAGGCAGTGTTTCTTTCTACTGAGGGGCTTTCAACAGTTTCGATTTTGCAGCAAAAAGTCTGTTATAAAAATTCACTTTGCACTCTTATGTGTCTGTTTCTTTGGTTTGTTCAGCTAACAGTGCTCCAGCAGAATTAAAATATCTGGCAGCTCATTCAAACAGCCCCATTCACTATCAGATAGCCGCTCATTAAAACTAAACAACGACAGTGTGATATTTATCACTGCATATGCATACTGGTACAGTAGGTTGTTGCAGTTTGTCTTGTTTCTGTGCTCTTTGAACAACATATACTTTGTATATGCTAGAAGGCACAAGGCAATACTGGTCCTCATCCAAAAAGCAAACAAAATTTACAGAACAGGGGACACAGCGTGCCTTCTTGTGTGCGCGTACATGCTTAACCTCCTAGGACCCAAAATGTGTGGACATCACATTTTGGGTTATTTAGACCAAAATACTCAATGTTGCTCTACAAGGGCCTGATATCCACTTACGAGGACATTATACTGCTACTGTTCTACCGAAATTTTAAATGAATATCCTCATATGTGGCTCTCATTTTTCTTAGAAACAAAAATCAGGTAAAAAAAAAAAATCTGGTAATTCTTTGATTTTACATTCATTGAGCCCCAATATGCCCAAATATCAAAGAGAAATCAAAAATGCATGCCGTGGGAGAGTTCGGGTCTTAGGAGGTTAATGCCCAGACAAAAGAGAGAATATTTTTCTGACTCGTTTCCCAAAGTGATCTAAGACTGACCAAACCTGTTGAACAAGCAGCTGTCCACAAAAGAGTAAGGCGTGCTGCAATAACTACGAACAATTCCAAGCATAATTGGCATCATTTGGTGAGTGCTTCAGAAAAAATGGAGAAGCTGAGAGTAAGCTTAACTGAGACACATTTCTCCCTTCTGGCTGTGCAACAGTATGCAATTAGAGAACTAGTTTTAGTTAGTAGTAAAGTTTATTACAGTTTACCAACAGCTGTAAAAAGTTGTTTCACTTGTGAAAATTCTCCTGTACCTTTAAACCTTAACTGTGTTTCTACCAACTGAATCCAGCTACAATTGTGTCTGCTTTTTGAGCACCTAAACATCAATTAGCACCTGATATAACTGTTGTAGCTGAGAAGAAAATCCCATATGTAGAGAGAGTGCTCATCTGTGGATGAGCATCAGTCAAAGTAAACAGAACATAATATGTTTGGAGTAATTGAACCATCTGGGTAAAGGGCTACCACCGTCATTAGAGACCCTGTTGCCTGATGTTACCGTGCATTTGACCTGAGCGAGAACCCGCTCGCATACTCATCCTTTAACTAAGCAAACCACTCACGAGAGGACAGTTTTCACACCAGACTGCACTCAGCACACTAACAGCTGGTTGCCACATCACCATAGACAGCTTGTGAAGAAGGGATTGAGCAGAGCAGAGAGAGAGAGTGAGAAATTAGCAACAGGTTCTTATTTGGTGCCAATAAAGTGCAAAGAAACTTTTCTATTATTTACTTAATTTCAATGTGGTTATATAAGAGCTGACAGTTCATTTTTAGGAGAAGAGAGCAAATCTCTCTTAGTAATTCAATTCACCATAATGACAACAGTTTTTGCTGGAATGCAGAAAAACGTCTGTGGATTAGACTATGGACTTTCGCTGTGAGGTCAGTTTGTATTTTTACATAAGCAGTCATCGTTTAGAAACAAGGAGTCAATAAGACCAGCTGAAAAACAAGTTAGAAATTAACCAGGTGCATCACAGAGAGACAAAACGTAGCCTTCTGACGGACTTTGATAACAGGGCGTGTAGAGGAGTTTACCAAATGTAAACAAAGACTTTTATTTGGCAACAGTAGTTTGTGCGTAGACATTAGAACACTAGTTAACCTGCTGATCTGCAATTCAAGCCAAGTAAGTACATACACTAACTTGTTGACACACTGAAACTCTTTCACGGAATCATATCTATCATTATGTAGGACTTGAGAACAAAGTAACATTTAAAGTCCCATGAGATTAAAATGGGCACGAGAGGTGAGTGGCATTTGATTGGTTCACAGCTTTGCAATAACTTTCAAAGTAACACACACACACCCACACACACACAATACATTCATCTTACATGGCCACATCAGAAGTTAGTCTTTATTGTCTAGTGAGACACAAAGTAGTGTTCAAGTAGGACTCTAGGCGCCCTTGTACAAACCTCTGAGAGCTCCCTCTCTAGCTCCACGGCGCGCTGTACGATGGGTCCCCGCACGGCGTACTCCACCTTCTTCACCGTGGGGTTCATGGTGTCGATGGTCAGCACCTTGGCCCGGGACATGATCCCATTCTCGGACATTTTCTCTTTGGGAAGTCCACGCCGCGTCGCACTCAAACTCGATAGGGCTCTGCCGGGAGAAGAGGAGGATGACAGAGGGGGACAAGTCAGTGAGCGGGTCCTGGGGTCGCCGCCGGGCCGCTGCGCTCCGCTTCTACCGGCAAACACCTCGTTCCGCCCGCGGCTTAAAAGCCGGACGTTTCTGGAGGAGAGCACCTGCATCCGAGCGGCTGACATGTTACCAGACTCTTTCAAAACAGCCGAGCGACTTTAGAAAACACTTCTGCGGGCACAGCGAGCTGTACCGCGCCGGTTGCTTCACCGGAGAAAGAGGAGTGAAAATAAAGTTGAGCAAGAGGAGTGACCGCCGGGATCCTAAAAACGACTCCGCGCGTGCACAGTCGAACCTTTAGCACGCGCTGAAGTTAAAAGGAGGTTTCGACCAAAAAAAAATATTGCGTCAGAATCTGAGGGTGGTGACAAAATACGACTGTGTCTACACAAAGTTTTCACTGGGACTTTTTTCTTAGGCGGTGCATATTTAACAACACGGCCGCCAGCGAGCGTACCCCTCCCCTTTTTGTGTAACCATCTATATCCCACCCGCTCTCCTCCGTTACCCGCCGCTCCGTGAGGCTGTCAATCAGCGACGGTTCTCCGGTTACTCGGGCTAAACTGCTCCACGCCGGAAAATAAGCTAATCGGCTTCTGACTGTTAACTTCACCGCGCTTTTCTCTTTGTCCCGAGATGCCCACGCGGCCTGGGTGGAGACAGAAGCGCTCCTTTATGTGAACTAAATAGTTATCAAAGCCCCTCCTGCGTGGACTGCAGCTTTGTTAAACTTCACTCACGTCCCAATCCCCGTGGATTAATGCAAAAGAATGTGAGAAATCTCCATTTCCTTGTACCACAGGAATAAGCTGAACCACGCTGCAGTTTATGTAAAAATCTGCACAAAACGTACACTGTTCCTGGATTAGAAGGAGGCATTACCGTTTCTCATGCTCAGCAGTGTTTCCAGGCCATTGGGATAAAGGGTCAAACATAAGGAATAAGGTCTGGCCTGGTAACACTGGTACTTCAGAATGGGGTGGTCTTTGTCTAGGATTGTGTCTCCTGGCTCACAGCAACTTCTACTAAATGCAGAATGAGTATGGAGTGCAGTGCATCTGATGAGAAGCGAGGACTAGAAAGCACTTACATGCTACTGATCCTCAGTGATTTTCAGTAAAGCTGAGTCTTCACACTGAAACGTGAGAGTGCAATTGGGTTCCTCAATTTATCGCTGCAGTTGTAGAGAAATGCAAAAACACTGTCATTTATTCATCACCACCAGAAGTGCTCATTCAGCAATGGTGTGTTTCATCAGTAATCACAGCTGTTATTACACCATCAAATCCTGTAAAATATTTTTTTTTGTAACGCAAAGATGTTCTTTTTCCCCCCCTTGCATGTAAGTTTTGTGTCTCACAGCTTTCTAGAAATGTGAAAAATTTTCTACACCTGCTACTAGCTGGGTTATAATACATAAATACTTAAGCATATTTAATGAAACCCTGCAAAGTTTTACCCTCATACTATGAACATTTTTATGGTTATGGGCTTTTGAAATGCTTAATTTTCTCAGCATTTTATACTCTAATTATTACTTCATGCTGGAAGACAGAAATGATCTTAAACACACATTTGAGCTCAAATAAAAAGTGTAGCTAGTCCTTGTTTCTGTGACTTTATATAATGGACAATAAAACTGGTGCAGTCTTGCTACCGAAACTATACATTCTGCACACAAACAAGACTTGAGTGGATATAAAATTGGACTGGTTGCAATTTTTAAAACAAAGATTACATGTACTTTTCAGACTTCAACATTTCTGTGTCTCCTCTGCAACATTTGGGCCTCAAACATATACTTCGAGGGCCTGTAATTTAATTTAAACTTTAGGACTTAGCTTTGACAGACTTCAATACTACTGACAACATTTTGTTTCATTTAGGAAGTGGTTTTGAGGTTGTACTTTCTGTTGTACAGCTGGATATAAAATTGATCTGGTTGCAGTTTTTAAAACACAGCTTAAATGTACTTCGAGGGCTTGTAACTCAAAACGCTCATACTCTCGGTGCAAGGCTTTATTAAATACACTAAAGTTACTGCACAAAAATAGCAGCTGATTCAAAGAATGCTGAGGTGGAAACGTTCAGTTTTGACCACTTTGATTACTCAGCTTTGACTGCTTAAATAATATTGAAAACATTTAGTTTCATTTAGGAAGTGGTTTAGACGTTGTACTTTTTGTTCTACAGCTATTGAGTTTTGCAATGAATCTCTCAGCCAGTAGTGGGCAGACCCATCAACATGAGAAAACACGTGAATGACTGACTCAGTGAAATCAAGACCCAGAGAAATTAACCAACTATATTTAGACAAAATATAGTTGGTATATACAAAATATACAAAAACAGCAGGCAATTTTAAATCCAGTTTAACATCTTCACATTATTCTCCAGTATATTTTAATACACATTGTAACAGTGCTGACCTCTAACGTAATAACCAGCTTATAGAGAGGCAGGGCAGTTGTGCAACAGTGATGCAAAACAAAACTCAAAGCACTTTGGTGTAACATTTCAATGTGTTTTTATATTTTGCCAGCATTAGAGGCAGCGTAGTAGAAACTGTAAGAGCTTGAGTAGTGTTTCATTGTTTCTACCATAGATTTTACCAGTGCACAGTTAATAACTGTCTTTACAAAAATAGTAGCTTATCTTTATGATGTGAGATTTGTGTGTGAGCATATAATATGCTTGCGTAAATCAGTAAAGAAAATGTAAATTCACATTAATGTTATAGATATTCACCTGTGATTTTTTAAAAAAAAGGTGTTAAACAGCAAATTCAATTAGAACCCTGTGGCTGCTACTATATCAGACAGAGTCTGTGTAGCCAGTGTACGCAGTGCAAACGTGGGCACAGATGGTAAGATGAGCAGAAACAGCTGGTGCTGTGGTGTTTGAAGTCCATAGCTTTTGCATTCCTCTGTAACTAGATAACATTGTTGGGGCTGGTGGGAGAATCCAAGAGGAAAGTCTTCAGTGTTGCCTCTTTGAGCCTTTTCTTCTGTGGAGACACATAAAGGCTCTTCCTGGGTGAAGTACCGTGAGGTGCTGAAGATATAAAAGAGTTTCAGCAGCTCCCAGCAGCGGGCTCTGGAGAGTAATGGATCATCGTAATGGTAATTGGAAGTCCGTACACAGGAGACTGCACGACGTGTTTCACGGTTGATGAGAAGAAGTGCCAGCACATCAGGCCGAACGGATACAGACCCTGGTAGGCAGCGTTCTCCAACAGCCAGGCACTCTCTCAGGGTCTCGACCAAAGGAGACCAGAAACGACCCACCAGCCCAGTCTCAGCTCCATGCAGGGATGGGGTTGGACCGCACAGCACACATACGTCTGCTCCGGGCAGCAGCTGGAAGCGGAGAAGACGGTGGGCTACAGTGGGGCTGCCATGAGGAAGGAAAATTGGGTAATCACAAGAAGCAGATCCAGAGGCTGAGTGTGAGCGTATCAAAGCAGAAAGCAGGACAACTTCCTGCGGTGCGAGGCGCCACCACTTTTCAGTTGCTGTAGCGATTCGCCCATGAACAACGAGGCAACCAAACTCGCTGTCTGCAGCCTGAGCAAAACCATCCACTGCCTCCTGAAAAAGAGCAGGATTTGGGGGCACCAGTGAATCAGCACAATGTGTAAGGTTTCCCAGAATACCCTCCTGCTTGTCCTCCAGTAGCTCATCAATAAGACTGAAGCAGGACCTGAGTTCCCTTTTAAGCCTCTCAACATTCCGGACATTAACCAGCTCATCCAGCCCTAACACCAGCACCATGCAGCCCCACACATTCTCCAGGAGGCGTTGTAGACGGGCCTCCTCCTCTTTGCTGCTGCCCACTCCGCCATCTCCACCTCCACTCACAGCGATGAGTATCACACTGTCCTGGAAAAGTCTCCACACCACCTTCCCTCCACCTTGCGTCTCAGAGCAGGTCAACACTACCCCCTGACCACCTCCGAACATGTGAACACCATTTAGAGAGCCTATGACAGAGAAGGGCAGCTGTTTGGAGGCTCCTCTTGTGAAAAGAGGGACCCCGCTGCTGGCTGTGAGGCAAAGAAGCTGTGTAGCGCCATCCTGGAGCATCATCGTGGCATTAGTGATTTAAGGTTATACATACGCTCAACAATCTAGCTATTCAGCTGCATGAGATTACTGAGCCAGCTAACTAACGGGTTTAAATGAGCTGATTGTATAATGACAATGACCGAGTAAAGTTGCATCAGCTAGGGTGAGCCGTTAGCATCACGTAATCCATTTTCTTCCAGCTCACTGAACCGGCCACGAACAATGAGACAAGCTATCAAGCAGCAAATCTAGCTACTATACCCGGATATATTCTGCCGGCTAGCTTTGTCAGCTAACTGTAGTTAATATGTCAGGTTAACAAAAGCAGTTACCGTCGTTTCCACAGTAACGCTGTCCCATGATTCATTCTTCACACTGATGAGAGCGGTTTCATTCGGCTGGTCGAGCTGCAGTTACGACTTAACCGCTCTGATGTAACCGCTCAAGGAGATGGACATGGAGACCGACCTGGGTTCAGTGCCCGCGTACATGGAACGACTCTCAACACGGGTGTGATTTCCGTACGTTCACATCTCGCGAGAGTTCAACCAACTGCTCACCCACAGTCGCGAGCAGATAAGATGCCCAGTTCATCATTTTCCCAGAACATTGTTATACAAAATGCTGTACCGTTTGTACAAATGCAAGCTGCAAATCAACAGAGCAGACTAAAGAGTGTCCTTCTGTATATAAATATAATAAAAATGTACAAAGAGAATAGAGAAGGTCATTTCTTTGTATTGCTTTTGTTTGGGGTGGTCCTGGGATAGTAACCAGGTTTTACATCAAAGATGAGATGCAATTTTATCATCAATAATTGCTGTAATTCAATAATATTAACTTTTAAAATAAAGAGGACTCCTGTTACTAACCCAATACAATGGAATTATATAGATATACACACACACACACACACACACACACACACACGCTTTTGCAAACAATGCATCTGGGACTTCAGTTTTTATGGAAGAGGATTAGGGCAACTGGAGAAAAAAAGATTGGGCACGTCTTTTTCCTTTTCTTTTCTGGAATTCTGAGAAAAAAGCCAGAATTTAATCTCAGAATTTGGGAGGGGGAGACATGTCCTTTTTTTCCCCAGTGGCCCTAATCCTCTTTCATAGTTTTTCCACCTACTGTTCACAGAAGAAATGGTCTCAATAGAAGCACAGCCATCATTGCCACTGTTAGATTTTGTTCCACCATGTTAGTACTATATGGAAACCATCCGATGGGTAACAACTTAATTTGTTATCATGACAGGGATCTGCCAATACAGTAAAAGCATAGTTGGATAGAAAAATCCAGTGGGCCACCTTCAGTCGTGGATTGACCTCCCCAGAGCCCAGGTCTCAACAATATTGAATCAGTGTGGGAACAACTTGACAGAACAGAACGCAGCAAACATCCAAACAGCTTTGATTGTCATTCAAGAAGCCAGGAGAACTATTCCTGAAGACTCCTTAAAGAAATTACTGGAAAGCTTGTCTCAGAGTTCAGGTTTTGAAGAGTCATCACACCAAATATTGACTTTCAAACCCTTTAGACGTGGACAAACCGTTTTTGCTTATAGATTATATTTCCACGTATGTTTCAATACTGTTCAGACTGGATTTCCATGTGTGCTTACATACATTTCAATAAAGTGCTGGTCTCCTTTCCCATTTCCAGATCCCAAGCTATGGCAGCAGACTTTTTGCACAGTATGTCATACCATAAAATTCCTATAATATACATTTCCTCTCAAGTTCTTCCACATCCTGTATCATAAATGTAGTTGACTATATTACTCTAAGTTGACTCAGGTAACTGTGTTATTATTGTGCTTTTAGATATAACTGCTGCCTTTCATACAGTGGATCATAAAATTTCTATTTCTCATTTAGAGTGGTTGGTGGGTGTTAGCGGTACTGCACTGCAGTGGTTCAGATCTTATTTGGCAGAGGAAACTTTCTCTGTGAAACTTGGTGAGTTTGTATCCTCTGTTGCTTCTCTTCAATGTGGAGTCCTACAGGGTTCAGGTTGAGGCCTTCTTTTCTCCCTATATCTGCTACGCCTTGGGTCTAATTTCAGAGTCCCTGAACTACTGAGCTACTACAGCCTGCCTGCTCCCTTAGGTCCTCCAATCAGCAGCTCCTTAAGGTGCCAAAACTGGGCGTAAATTTAGAGGTGACCGTGCGTTTGCTATAGCGGCTCCAAAGTTGTGGAATGATCTGGCCTTGCAGGTTAAGCAGACCTCTTCTCTTTCTGAGTTTAAAACTCAGAAAACATTTATTTGCTGAAGCCTTTAGCACTTTTTAAGAAGTTGACTGTTTTTTTCCCCTAATTCTCTATTCATGTTTTGATTTATTTTCTGCTTATGCTATTTGTATATGTACACCACTTTGTGGACCCTGGTTTATTTTAAAGTGCTTTATTTATAAAGGTGGTATGGTACAGTAAGTTGAATACAGGAAACAAATCCTGTCAAATTTAATGCACTATAAACTCTGTGTATGCACATTTAAATATCACAGTTTGGAGTCCCGATCATGACCTAGAACACTGCAAAAAATAAATAAAAAAACAGCATGAAAATATAGAGTTGCTATAAATTTTACACTGTGCCCATTTTAATTTTGGCTCAAGAAACAGATCAAAGTACTTCACCCATCACCAATTTCATGTATAATGCAGCATCTTTTGACCCAAACTCTTTGGTCCATTTAATGATTCATACACAAGCTGTTTCCATAACTGTTGCCTCTAAGGCTACATGAAAGTAATTTCCCTCATATTAGCTGAATTTGACAATAATATGGAACTATATCAATTTGCTGAATTCTGATTTTGTTTTAAACAAGAAAAAGATAATGGCAATAACTTGAGTAGTAAAGAATATTTTATTCATTAAATACAAAAAAGTTGAGAACAGTGATGACTAAAATAGAATAGAAAAGGCACAATAATTGAGTCAAAAATCACACTGTGCCGTGGAAAATAATACCATCTCCTGTCTTCTACCTTATCTAAAAATAGCCAGTCTTCTTCCTGTTTTAAATCCATCGAGTTCTACTTTTGAGATTTCCCGTGGCAGTATAATGGCTTGGCATAAGGAGCAGTGCTGAGGTCAATTTTTCCCTGTAGCATCAAAATGAAGGCCTACAGAACAAGAGAAAGGGGAAAAAAGAAAAGACGATCATTTTAAATGGTTAAACAGCTCAGGATGAGAAGATTTTATTCAGACTATTTTTACTGATTTACAATGCAACAGTATTTGTATAAACTGAAACAAAGTTTCATAGTATTAAAAAAAAGCAACTCTTTTAGTATCCACCTGCAGGTCACACAAGCGTTAGATCAATTTATTAGAAAATACTGTCAATGTTACTGTCAAGTCTGAGATGTTTTTCAATTCAAGAAAGAAATCTGAATACACAGTAAAGACGGCATGTGTAGCGTAGCAACAGAACATGTATGTGCATATTCAAAAGTGTGGCTGGCTTACCAATGGACACAGAGGTTTCACAAGAAGGAGCAGACCTTCTGCGGCCTGAAAGGGTTGGTGCTGGATGACACACCGGTGAGCAAGGGGTCTTGGAGAGCATTCTGTATGCAAAACTGTTGTAGATCTGCAGCTGCCTGAGAAACCTGGTGAAGACAAGAAAAAGTCACTTAGAGCAGGTGCATCCCAATATTTTTGAATGACTGCTCAGTCACCTGTATGATGCTTTTTGTAGCTGGGAAGAATGGAAAATGGACTGGATCTTCTATAGTGCTTTTCTACTCTACCTGAGCAGTAAAAGTGCTTTATATAACATGGCTCATTCAGCCATTATTGGAAGGTTTAAGTGCTTTCTATCAAACATCGGGGTTAGCATCTTGCCCAAGAATGTTTGCCATACAGACTGGAGGACCTAGGGGCTGAACCACCAATCTTCCGATTGGCAGATGACCTGCTCTACCAGCCACCCCTGAAGATGCAGACCTGAACAGGGCTAATAATACTCCACTGCACAACTGAAGGAAACTGTAGAATGCACTTTTTAAGCCCGACCAATATCAGAGATGAAGCCTTGGTATCCAATTTTGCTTGCGGTACAACTGGAAATGCAAGAATTCTTTTAAAATAGACGCTCTTCATTTACATGGAACTGTAAACAAGGCACATCTTCTCCAACCATGACTGAATCCAGTCTTTTAGGTTGTTTGAATGTCGTTATAGACAGTATTTGGAAAAAAACGTTCAGTGTTTGAATTTGCAGAAGTAGCTAATAAAAACGATGATTCTCATTATTCATCAATCATGTGCTTATGTCAAGTTACCTATTCAAATCTTGTAACATAATTAGTAACATAAAATGTGAATTCAAAAAGGAATGCCCACTACACTTAGTTTACAAAAATTAAAACAAAATAATACATCCGTCTCATACATGGCGTTTCCCTGGTCTGTAAGTTTAAGAAATTTGCCATCTAATACCTTACTTTGAATAATTATTTTGTCAAGTAAAAACATTAGCTACACTTGGGGGGGGGGGGGGGTATTGCGAAGCTAGAGTTTTAACATTTGATCTTAAATCGCTTCGTTAAATTCGTAACTAACTACAGCTATCTTGTCGTCATCTTATGTTGCTCGGGCGTTGTTTTATGATTACAAGCAGCGCGAAACTTCAACACTTCCCCCTCGGTACAAACAACGCCCTGCTTCACAGATACTCTCGGCCGAATTAGCATCACGGTGCTAGCATCCAGCAACAGCTAGCGCTGTTCGCAGATTTTTCCATTAATTGTCAGGAAAAAAAAAAGTCACTTTTACTTACCTTAACTCTGTTTATGCTCGCCTCAAAACGAAGCTGCTGTACCACCTTTTTCATGGTCACCAGGTTGGATGAACCCGACATTTTTATGCCTTTTCTGTGATTGAAATAAAACGCTGGGCGTAGGGAAACACGTCTACGCTGGTTGCTGCTGAGACAAAAGCAAAGATGACGATATCCGGATTCCGGTTGTTCACACTTAATTGCAACTCCCGATTCAATCCACCAGGGGGCGACAAATGAAAGGGAAACTTATTTCATTATATTAAAAAACATCTTTATTGTTATTACTTCTTGAGAGCAGATCTAATCGATCTAATGTTAATGCAATACATACTTCAAGTCATAATTTATACTTATAGATTATGTAAACACAAAAGGTAATTTCAGTACAATCAACAGGTAGAAAAGAATTTCTGGCTACAACACACTCTTATCATTGCTTGGTACCCTTCCTTGAAACATCTTAAAATCTGAATTGTCAGTAAAGAAATGAGCTATGGCAGACTTAAAGTGCTTTCTTGTGTGATCAAGCTTTGGTGAATTGTCTGTGCACATCCATTGAAAAATGATTGCTCAGAGCTGATGGATTTCAGCCACAGATTGAAACTAAACTTTGTTGCAGAGATAAAAACAAAAAAGGCACTTAAAAGTTCTTCTTTAATTGAGGCTGTTCTCATCTTCACCCATAGAGAAAATACTCAAGTCACTGCATCGACCTCCGTTTTTTGCCTTGACCCGATTATCTCCATCTTCAATGGTGCTACACTCTTGCCAGAGTCCTCGATTTGAATGTCTGGTGGAACTAAAAAGAGAAAAATATATACACTAAGAGTCTCTTATCCTCACTGATTCATGCATCTGTTGTTAAGACATTCACATTTAATATCGTGCAGAGCATTTCACTGCATGAATGAAATGCAATCCCTGAAAACAGTTATCTAGTAACTCACTAATACCTGCTTTCTGGTATTAAGCGGAGTGTCCGGTAAAGTTCAGGAGTTGATGGCACAGCAGCACTTTGTGAAGATCTGGGAGTGGAGAACGTTGTGTAGGTAGATGATTTGGCCAGCTGAGCTTTCACTGAAGACCTCCTGATCTCTGGCTCACTTCCTGCAATACAGACCGTGTTTTAAGGACAACAGTTTTCTGGTAATGCATTAGGTGTTCATATGCAGTATTAGAAAATGATTATTTGTTAGTCTTTCTCTTACACCAAGTTTTTGTAGTTTTCACACTGATGTCCCCAAGCAGATGGTACTGAATAAACAAGACTGACTTGGCGATGTGATATTGTGGAGCTGTGCAATGATTTGGATAGCTCATAAATTGTATTCACAATAGAACATAGGAAACAGATCCAGTGTTTAAACTGAGGGGGGGGGGAATATTGGTTCATTTTAAATTTGATGGAAGTGACACATTTCATAGCTCAGACAGAGGCCACAACAGATTGGAACAGTAGGTGGTACTAAAGAACAGCAGGAGGAACATTTCGCAAGTAAATCGGTTAGTTAGTAACAGAAATATGATGGAGTGCATTTAAAAAAAAAAAAAAGAAAAAAAAAGAAAAGAAAAAGTGCGTCTTAGAGAGGCTGAGTTTCTAGAAAGGAAAGATGGAAATGGGTTCACAAAATTCAGAATAGTGTTCCTTAAAATAACATTGCAAAGACCATGAATATGTCATCATCTACAGTAAATGAGATTGAAAGGATTGGAGGAATCTGGGGAAATCTGTGTGCTAGGGACAAGGCTGAAAACACTGGATGTCTGATCTTTGGGTTCTCAGGCAGCACTGCATGAAAATCAGATACGATTCTGTCATGGAAGTCACTGCACGGGCTCAGGAAAACTTCCAGAAATCTCTCATGGTTTGCTGTGCCTCCCACAAATACAGGTGGAAGCTCCATCATGTAAAGAAGAGACCATATCTGCACACGATCGAGAAATGCTGACATCTTCTATGGATTAAAACGCTTTTAAATGGACTGTGGGCAAAGCGGAAAACTGTTCTCTTGTAAGATTTTATGGACGATTGATAGAAAGAAGAGGGGATGCTGCTCAGTGGTAAACTGTTAATGGCATCGAATTTCAAAATGAGTGAATATTTTTCTTACAATTGTCCATTTTAAAACATTTGATGCTTTCTATGTCGTTGTTTCTACCCTGAATAAAAATCTGGAATTAAAAATAAATAAATAAAATAAATTCTTTGCATTTACACAACATCCCAACTTTTTCAGAAATGGGGTTGCAATTGTGCCCAATTTTAGTAAGTAAAACATTTAACCACTGAGAGGCTATGTCATTCAACCACCCACTCCAGAAAGCACCTTAATTTAAATTGCACCAACTTACTAACTGATAAGGCACTGTGACCATCTGATGAGGAGCATCTCCTTCGGTCTGTAAAGGGAGTCAAATTCAAAAACTGATTCTTGAGCCATGAAGCGCGATCCTCTTCGAAGGCCTTTTTCTGTCGAAATAAAAAAACGATTCCAAAGAAATAAATGCACCAACATCACAATGTGTGCTCAATTTAACTACGGGACCAAATCAGAAGCCTTCAGTACCTCTCGGCCCAGACGAATAGCAGCCTCGGTGAAGTTCGTTCTCTCCCTCTCGAAGTTTCTCTTTTGTTCTTCAAAGAGCCTCCATTCCTCTTTGAGACGCTCCTTCTCCTCCAGTGTGTAGCAGTCATTAAGGAGAGCGGCAGTCTCATCGTCAAACGAGGTGTTGAGTTGTTGCTGCAAAAGCAGGAGTGGTTATTCCTTTGATAGCACATTATTTCTTAATGTTCCTAAATCATTTTTGATACTGACTAACAGGCCAGAAACATCCTCGTGGGGACATCCCATTGACATAATGCTTTCCCTAGCCGCTTACCCTAACCCTTAGCCTAAACCTAACCATAGCCCAATTGTAACCTTGACAGTAAAACCATATTTTAAGTGTGAAAAATGCCTCCAACCCCGTGGGGACCTGGATTTTGGTCCCCACCAAGATAGTAAGAACCCGTGCACACACATGTCCGCCCCCTTTGTAAACACACTGACTGCCTCTCATCAGATGCTGACCTGAAGTAGCTGCTGTTGTGCATGAATGAACTCTTTGCACTGCTGGACTTCACACCTCATCCTCTCCATCTCATCCTCGTGGGTTTCCAGAGGTATCATCTCTTTATTAGACTCCAGCTGATTCTGCACTTGAGAGACTTGACAAACAAAAAACCAAATGGATAAGCTGATAATTTTGGTTTCTTTCCAGGCATGACACATTCAGCTACATAAGAAAGGTTTTGCAGATGAAAAATGTTTAAAGTTGTGCCATTGTGTCTATGCCGAATCTACCTTGGCTGTCTAATTTCTCCACATGGTTCCTCAGCTTCCTCCACTGCTGACGGATGCTGTTTGTTAGCTGCTCCCTGGCATGCTCACAGGACTGATCCAGAGTTTCTCTGCTGGTGTCTCCTGTTTTCTCCTCCCCATCTGAATCATGATGCTGCAAATCAGCCAAAACAATATCGTGGGCTTAAAAGGAGGAAATCAGGAGATCTGAACTTCAGACATGTCATTTCTAATACTTTGGTAAACATTTATGGACCAGTTTTAGTGCTCTTTGTATTTTGAAAGTATCTCTATGCAAAAAACAAACAAAAGCAACAATTTAATATGGTAACAAGACTAAAGCATTGTACCACTTTCGCTTACAGGTATGATCTATCGGTGTATTGACTGAGTCCATTTGTCAAGTTTGTGTAAGACAACGTATTGGTCTGCTTTGTTAAATATTCTACTTCAACACCAAGTAACACCACAAGATGGCGTCTCATTCCTTGTTGTTGCCCAGATACTCTCAGGGATTCTCGTCACTACCACATGTGCGTACGTATGTAGGAACATATTTTCTATGGCGATATTGTATCGATACAGTGACACCAAATATCGACATTTTAAATAAATGAAAATGCTATGAATAAGGGGGCTCATCTCAACTTATACGAGGTAACCTTTCTACAAACAGTTGCAGTCTGACTTGATTGACTGAAATCACTCTAGGAGAGACGGCATTTATTTGAAAACCTTCAAATAAATGCCGTCTAATTTCTAAATGCAGACTAACTGCTACCTTGTTTCCATCAATTTGAATGAGGCTTTGTCAGTGAGCACAACTCGAGAGAATTTGACTCAACCAGCTGCCAATGGAAATGTAATAGTTAAATGTGACTTTCTATAGACAGGATTAGAAGTGATATTTTTGACAATCACAGTTAGTTTCTGTCTCATCAGGAACTTATTGCATGCGATTACCAACTTGACCCTATCCGACTGCAGACTGATAGCAACATACAGTATAGCGTTAAAAAAATAAAATAAAAATTCACAATAATATTGTGATAATATCATATTGATTCCCACCTCTAATGATCTAAAGTAATTTACAACAAAGCCCTGAACAGCTTCATGAGTCACCATCTGGATGGTTTCCTGTCCATAAGAGAACCATCAATCTTTTCAAACCCATCTACCAGAGGTGTGTGTGTGTGTGTGTGTGTGTGTGTGTGTGTGTGTGTGTGTGTGTGTGTGTGTGTCTCTCTCTCAAATACCTGCTCCTGGCTGTCATCAGCAGTGGCTCCTCGGCCAGAAGAACTGCGTGGACTCAGGATATGAATCATCTCCTTCTTCATCTGCTGGAGGACTTTCTTAAGCTCAGCGTTCTCCAGCATCAAAGACTTCTGACTTGCCTCGTAGTCACTGAGCAAAGACTTGTACATCTCACCCTCGTGGCTGCAGAAATCAATGACATATCAGTTTATGCAATTAATACTACACATTTTTCAGTTTCCATGGTTAAATGAATTTCACTTTCAAAATACCTGGCTGTCGCTTTTGCAGTCTTCCAGTGACCCCTTTTCCCATCTGACCGTCCCAAGGAATTCAGTACATCGATAGCTACTTGAGGAAAAAGAGAAAATCCAACAGAACTGACACAAAATTATGCAAATCATTGTTTGTTTAAGTTAAGCACATTTACCTAGTTTCTTATCCTTTCTGTCAACCAGCAGCTGGCTGAGGCGCTCTCTGAGCTTTGCAGCTTCTCTCTCTTTTCTTTTGGCATCATGACTGTACTGAGAGGCACGGCTAGCAATGATACTTTGGAGCTTCTGGACCTGTCCAAAAATAATTGATTATTTACAAGCTGTCAGGTTTTTGCATCCTGAAATAACTAGTATTAGTAACAAAACCACAGTGTAAGAAGAAGCTTTACCTCATCCTTTTCTGTTTTTAAGCAGCTCTGCAAAGTCTTAATTTTCAGTTGCAGCTGCCTCTCCATTTCATGCAGACCAGATTTCTCCCTTATTGACAGTTCCAACTGATCCTGGAAGGAAACACATGATACATGACGTAACTGTTATGTGCCGTCTGAAGATTTTCTATAAATCAAATTAAATAATCTAATAAACTAAAAAAAAACAAAAACACTACAAATAAATAATAATCAAATGAAATTCTATGTGAATCAAATGACCTTTATTTTTTCTAGCAGCATGTTTAGAAAAAAACCAAACAAACAAAAAAACAAAACAGAGGGACTATGCATCACAACCAGATACCATCAAAGTGACAGAAAGCACGTCAAGACCTCCCAGCACACAGCTCTAAAAGGTCTGTCTTTGCTTGACTGACAATGTTCAGTGGGGATATTCAAAGTGTATACACACTACCGTGTTTTCATATCTCTAAGAGGTGAAAAATGTGACACTGCATTACTCCACCTTTACTCCAAGACATCTGTATGCAGATTATAGCCCGAAGAAATAAAATGTTGGCTCCACAGAGAAACGAAAGAGACACTTTCTCTCTTGGAAGTACATTAAAAGAAAGATCAGCGGTTATACATGCCTTGAGTCTGGTATTGCTCGTCTGCATAAGCTCCATGGTGCTGGATTTCTTTAGCTGCTCTTTCTCAAGCCCTTCTACAGTGCTCATAGTTCGCCTGTGAATCTGTAGCAGCTCATACATGGCATTCAGAGCCGGTACTGCATTCAGGCCAGTCCCCTCTGGTGAGGTGGCCTCAATATACGTAGAGGAGAGGCCCAGTGAGGCGAGCTCCTGTGGGGGGATGGAAATTAAAAGTATGTCCTTGTCTAGGGGTTATCTTTTTGGAGACAATAAAACGTTTGCATATAAACCAAACACTTCAAGAAGTAGTAATAATAATAATAATAATAATAATAATAATAATAATAATAATAATAATAATAATAAACCTAGGGCCTTCCATACCTGATTGATGTATGAAATGCACTGAAGAATGTTATCCTCTGTGCAAAAGGCACTTATTACACTGTAGGAGCTTTTTGCCAAGGGAAACGAGTACGATGACACAAAGCTGTTCTGTCTCGAGGGTGACATCGTAACATGTGATATGCTGGATATCTCATAGTTTTCTGTAAACACAGAACAAAGAAAGGGAAAAATATTGAAACTGTGGAAACATTACATCTACTGCTCTCTTCCTCTAAAGAGAGGCTTGAATTAGGTTGCAGATGAGAAATGAGAACAAAAATGTGGGTCACCTCTAAAGAGCCCCCCTCCAAAAAAAAAAAAAAAAAAAGCTAATGGGACTTGCTATTCTTGAAGCGCTCTATCAAATGCATCGTTTTAGCACACACACACACACACACACACACACACACACACACACACACACACACACACACACGTTACCCATTGATGCCTCAGTTGTCCACCACTCTCCCATATCACCAACACATCAGGACACGAGGTCATAAGTTGTCACCAGGGAGATGGATTAAGCAGCCGGGGGTTGTGGATCAGAGGACAGCACTGGAACAGAGCGCTGCAACAGAGCATCAAGTCATGAGACAGACCAGCAACAGATAATCTGAGCCGAAGCTTCATCCTCACAGGATTAACTGTCAGATGTGTGCCGGTTTGGAGGGGGATTCGAATGGGTTTTAGGAGGGTGCTCCTATTGGTTACTGGCATCCAAACTGCTGGGCTGTAAGATGATCTGAGCCTCAAACCAAAGGATTACAGAGATAAAAATAAGAGAATCCATTACAGAGAGTAAATCTGGCAGACTCATTTGTTCTACGTGTTTGTTTTTTAACTTTAATCACTGACATGCTCGGTGAAACAGGGTGAACCACACACTAAACTAAAGGGGCCACTCCCACAGCCTTAATGCCGTGACTTGCATTCAGGTACAGTTTCATTGTGTTGATGAATAAAAAGAAAAAACGGTGCACTGAAAAGCTGGGGCGTGTAAAAACGGTTGGACGCAACCACCAATCATGGGAAATGCCTGCTGCCTCACAAGCCAACTCTTCCCAGTTTATCTAATGAAGCAGAGAGTTTACACAGCTTTTATCTAGAAATACACACACTGAGGAGGCGATAAAGTCAGACGTGCTACGACGTGACGCACTCAATGCTTAACGTCAGGAGCTGCTTAAACGTACGTAGTCCAGCAAACATGCTTGCTTACTTTGCTGTGTCGTTTGCTAGACCTCTACATGGCAATAGAGAAATACCTTAGAAGCTTAACGCTGCTAAGCATAAATAACGTTCACGCATGCCGTGTCTCCCCCGTGATGTTAGTTAGCCAACAGGATAATAGCCATGCTAACCTGACAACACTACAAAGATACTCACTCAAGGGCGTGAAACGGGTCAACTAAATCCAACAGTTTAGCTCCGTGCTGCTGCTGGCACGGTTAATACACTCCTTCCCTGAAAACACCTCCACCTCCAGTGTAGACTCCAGTCAACATCTTGTCAACAGCGGCAATAAGTATCAAAACTCCCGACACAGCCCAGAAAATACCTCCACAGGTTAATGGGCAGACTCTGGCTGCTGCGGCGTTTGTATTTTTTTTTTTTTGAAGTCTATTCCTCCGCTGTCGTCCAATGAAACTGCATTGTTATTGGTGGCACCGTTGTTAGGCAACCAGTATGAGGGCCGTGCATTGGGTGTACATTATGCAAATGAGAAATGCCGTCAGGTGCCACAGTCAGGTGTCATAAATGTCACTGCAGCGCCCCCTGTGGCTGCAGGAAGTATTACTACACATAAAGCCTGTTTTGACGGCTTTATTTATATAGAGCTGCCAAATTAATTGTCATTACACATAGACTCATTGTGCTTGAAATAGAAGATAATGTCTCAAGACAATGAAAACAAGACAGTAGAACTTTACAAAAAAGTAAAATGCGAGTGACAGAGTCACTTCAGGTCAGCACTCAGCTCCTCCCAAAGAACAGGGCAACAGCTGATGTCCTGCAGGTCTGTTTGGGTTAAACACGTCTGAGATGTCCCGGAGGCCAAACCATTGAGAGCTTTATGAACTAACAGAAGGATTAGTTCATAAAGGGGATTTTAAAGGAAATTCTGTGTTGAACCGAGAGCCAGTGTAGTGACTTCAATAGTGAAGTATATGTTCAAATTTCTGTGTATGCATAAGGACTCTAACTGTTGCATTCTGGGCGAGCTGAAACTGTACAACTGATAAATTGGATAATCCTGCAAATAGTGTATTTCACTAGTCTAAACTTCTTGATTTGACTATAAGGACCAATTTCCCTGAGCCAGTTTGAGAATTTTCTAACTTTTGATATGTGACAGAAAGCACTTCTGATAACCTTATTAATATGATTATCAAAACTAAGATCATTGTCCAAAATAATGCAAGGATTCTCAACTTATTCGCAAAAGAGATGATTAGTGTAAAAAAAAAAAAAATTCTGTCTCTGACTTTCTGGACCAACAACAAATATTTCTGTCTTGTCTCTGTTCAGCTCTGTTCAAAAGGTTTGTAGACATCCAGTAGTTAATGTCATCAGAGAAGCTTATTAGGTTATGTACAGGGGTTAAATCATCAGAGGAACAAGGTAGGCACATCAGTATCATTTGCATAAGAATGATAGGATATATTATTATTCTCTATGGTAATACCAAGCAGGAGTATGTAAAGGTTAAAGAGTAATGGGCCAAGGACAGACCCTTGTAGAACTCCTGATTGAATGTTCATTTATGCAGATCTAAATCAAATAATTGAAACAAAAAAACCTCGAGCCTTTAGGTACAATACAATGAGACCCAATTAAGAATCTGAACCCGTTAAATCAACTGGATCATAAAGTCTTTGAGTTGAAATGTCCTGATCATCAGTGTTGAAAGCAGCAGTGAGATCAAACAGAGCTAAGATCTGCTGATCTTAAGGTCACTGATGACTTTATAAGAGCTGCTTCTGTGCTATGATTGGTTCAGAGACATCATTGGCACATGTCATAAGTGCTGTGAGGTAAAATTAATTCAGCTGAAACAAATGTTTTATTTTCAGATATTTTGCCGACCATGTTTGTGAGAAAAAAGTCAGATTAAATTTAAAATAGGTGCCACTGTTATGGCTAAAGGTGCGCTGAAATATATCCAGAAGGGACATGACTACTCCTAAGAAGCTCTCAGTACTGAAATTCAAACTTTATTATCTAAATAAGGTGCTCAATTTGACATTTTGTGCAAAAGAAAAAATACAAGTATAGCAAAAATACACAAAGTAATTTATACAGGTCATAGGATATGCTTCTGTATTGATGACAAAAAAAACTGTGCTCAGCACAAAATAAAGAGATGAAAAGCAATTACGTTTCAGGAAATTCACTTTCACTTTACTTTGCATTTAAGTTGTGAAGTTTATTTGAGAGTTGCATCTTTTAGCATGGTTTCCTCACAGTGAGAAGGTTCTGGGTTTGTACCCTCTGTTGGACTTTGCATGTTCTCCCTATGTGGATTTCCTCCAAGTGCTCCAGTTTACTCCCAGTCCAAAGATGTGCTTGTTCGGTTAATGGTGATTCTAAATTGGCCATATGTGCTAATGTGAGTGTGAATGATTGTTTTTCTCTCTGTGTTGACCCTGTGATGGACTAGCGACCTGTCCAGGGTGAACCCCACTGTTCAACCAATGTCAGCTAGGGTAGGAAGACTCCAAGTTGGATAAATGATTATGAAAATAGAAAGATGTTTAAATTTTCTCCTTAAGTGCTTGTATATAAAAGATCGCCAAGTTACATCGTTGTTGTGTAGCCAGAAGGAAGTTCTTCTTAGTGTTTTTCTCCACTAATGTCTGAGACATCTGCCCTCCATGTTTGAATGCAACACTGGCAAGAAGAGAATATTATTTGACATATTTATACGGCAATGCTTGATATTGATGTTACATTGGTTTATAATGTGGCCATATAATATCAGCATGTCCTTAACATAGGAACTTTGCTAATTTACTAGTTCTAAAAAAGTCAGAACTCAAGTAAAAGTACATCTGTTTAAGTTGGAAGATATTCCATCACTATCACCCAATAGTGTTAACAAAGGCTCTATACAGACTCTCAGGACCCTGTGGGGCATTTTGCAGTCACATGAGGGCAACCCGTTGCTCACACTTGGCAAAAAGATGATACTACACCCTGTTATCCAAAGCAACCACTTGAAAACATGCAGCAGGTCGACTCGTCAGTATTCTGGTATCGTCCAGACTCAGGCTGATCTATGCACTCTGCAATGAAGGCCTGAAGCTGGGACACTGGCTCCTTGTCTTTCTGATGATGCTGAAAAAAAGAACCATTATAAGAATAAATATATAAATACATAAATAAATGAAATATGCTCAAATTCAACAGTAAATTACATCCCTGCAGGATATCAAATATCAGGGTGGCTCGGACTGACCTTGATGGTTTCGTACGTGTCAGTGATAAGAGCAATGAACAGACTGAGCACCATGTAGATGAAGATAGAGATGAAGGAATAGAGGTAGAGTCTGCTGAAGAGCCACACCATGTAGGTTTTGTCTCTCATCCTCAGAAAGGTGGAAAACATATCATCACCATTGAGGAGAGAGAAGAGGCACTCTGTCACTTTAGCCAGTGTTCTGAACTGTAAAACAATGTTTAAATAACGATTAACATTCTGACATCATGTTTCTGGAAATCATGTCGGAACAGATCACCTTAATGTTTGTACTGTAATATGAATTGAAGTGTTTATACTTTGTCGTGGTAAGGTCCAAGGACGATCCACCCACAGAAACAGTACCCGAGGTAGATTATGGCTGCACAGACGCAGAATCGAAACACGTTGGGCAATGCCGCCCTCAAGGTTAAGATTAAGATCTAAAACAAAAAGAAGAAGAAAAAATGCCAGTCCCTCTGGAAATGCATTTGCTCTTTGTTTGTATAAAGCATTTTTTATTAGGCACTGTTAGGAAAGTCTTACATTGTACTTCTTGAAGAAACTCAGGTAACGAATCACACCAACCCAGACAAGCATCGTGGCTGTTCCCAGCAAGATACTGCAGACGTCATAGTTTGTTAAGAACTGCAAAAGAAAAAAAATACTACTGATAAATTTGATAATTCTGCAACCCTTTACATCAGAATCAGAATCGTGTTTATTGGCCAAGTATATGTGTTTTTACATACTGATTTCAGACCATTTAGAAAATATTCACTGATTTCTAAAAGAAAAAAAGAGAAAACCTTTGTTTGTATTCCAATTTTCAGCACTGATCCAGTGATGGTCATTATGTCACTGACAATAATGAGGATGTACCAGCCATTCACAAACTCCATGCGGTCTGACCAGGACACAGTTTTATTGTAGTAGGCACTGAAAAATATGCTGAACTCCTACATATGAGAAATTTATCAAACAAACAGACTGTCAAACAAGTCAGCTAATGAGATGTTACTACAGGCAGTAGAAACAGGCACATTTTAACATGCTTAGTCTATTAGCTAATACTATAAAGCAATACTATGCAAAAATCTTGAGTCACCCGACTATGGTTTTGGGTCTACACATATCAAACACCTTTGAATAAATTTTAAATTGTATCTTCACACATTGGCAGTCTGTTAAAACATGTCACACATCAATTGTTCCCATTTTATAAGTTGAATTTACAAAAAATGACAAAGATAACACAGTTTGACGGGCATTAAATATATTTTTGCAATAACAAGGTGATTTCTAAAGAGCTATTATGCCATAATTTGGGATATCTCTTTATGGTGTGCAGTGTATCCCTAAAAATCTGAGGAAACAGGAAAAGAAAAGAAGTGGCAGGCCTAAAACTATCTAGAGCTGAAGAACAATATCTGAAAGTGCATCTAGCCTCATCAGAAACAGTCTTAGGTGGAAGCATGGCTATCAAGAGTTATGCCAAATTACAGAAGGACTGGACTGAAAATAAGTGGTGGTGTCAAATCATCTTGATAGACAGAAGAATAAAGGTGGTCATGCCAACATGTTTGTATGTTTCCATAAATCTCTGCACCTATGTCCCATTTTCCCCGCAAAATATAAAGAAATGAAAGGTGGCTCAAGAGTTTTTCACAAAATTATATGTGCTCTTCTTAAAAACTACATCATGTTACCAGTATGTAAAGCCCCTCACCAAAAGTATAGAGAACATTACTTGATTGACCTCATCAACTATAATTATGGCCTGCCTCAGGTGCTGTTTAGTGTCTTAACTGAGCCAGATGCTAAAAGTATTTCTGTGGTGATACTTACAAACTGGAGCTGGATGCCATGGACGACAGATCGTATGCAGAGGATGAGAGAGGCGAAACAGGCGAGGAAGACCACAGAATCAAACGACAAGAGGAGATAATCGTTCTTCCCAGCTAGAACATTTGAGGTCAGGTGTTAATATTTTGGGGCTCTGTCTCTATAAAACTGAGACATAACCTTTGTCATTTCTTGGATCATGCAGGTACAGTTGCAATCAAAAGATTACGAACACTCAATATGGGCATGGATGTCATAGTAATTTGGGGTTTTTAGTGATTTGATTGAACTGTTTGTTTTCCAGGGTGGAACGATTGTACAGCGTACGACATTGGATTTACATTGGATTTTCTCAAATCCACATAGGGTCAAAGTTAGACATAGCAGCTCAAACATGTACACACACCCCCACTAATATTTGTTTAAATGTCCTTCAGTGAGTTGCACCTCAAATAAATGCTTCTGTTAGCCATCAACAAGCTTCTTGTGTAATTCTGGCTGGATATGTGAGCATATTTGCAGAATTGGTAGGGTTCATTTGAATTGGTTGGTTTCATGACATGAGCCCAGCTTTCAAGCATAGTCCAAAAATTTCTAATGAGAAATGAAATTATCATCTATATCAGCGGTCCCCAACCTTTTTTGCGTCACGGACCGGTTTATGCCCGACAATATTTTCACGGACCGGCCTTTAAGGTGTCTCGGATAAATACAACAAAATAAAACTAGTACCGGTATCGAAAAAAAGAAGATTTATTCATAACACACGTGAAAAGACCCAGGAAAATCGAGTTAACAATAAAAACGATAACAAAACAACGCTGAAAACCGATAAAAACCCTGAAAACCATACATTTCACACCTGAGCCTCAACTCTCGCGGCCCGGTACCAAACGACTCATGGACTGGTCCGAGGCTCGGGGGTTGGGGACCGCTGATCTATATTATCCATTCCAAAACCAGTTTGATGTGTTTGTCCTTTTGAAACACCTAACTGTGCCCAAGTTTCAACTATCTACCTGTCGATTTGAGGTGACGTTGAAGAATTTGGATGTGCTTCTCCATCATTATAATTATCCTACCCATTTTGTACAATGTACCAGTACCAGTGGCAGGAAAAACAGTTGGTACACTGTTCTTGGGTTTGAAAGTCTCACCTTTATTCCTCTAAACTTACCCCTCACCACTGTGGCCAAATAGGTCAGTCTATCTGGTCTGAACATCTGAAACTTTTCTCCAGAATGCATTTGGGTTTTCTTAAAGGTGTTGATTTGGGAACAGTAGCTTCTTTCTTGGTCAACACCCTCTCAGTACATGCTGATGTAAAACTTTCTGCACCACTTATTATACTTTTGACCAAAAAAATCCTTTTGTATCCAATTCTCATTCGACCCTGGAAAAAGAAGACCTCAAAGAAATCATCAAAAGCACAAAATGACCATGACATTCATGCCTATGAGTCTGAACACAGCTGTATTATGAAAAGTAGAAAAGTGTTTCTGTGCCCCCTGCTGGCGTTTGACTAACACTAACAAATATTTTGCTTCCTGGTGTCTCTCAGTACTATTTCTACTCACATGTGCCTTCCACGTTCCAGTCACTGCATTCATAAATTCTAACATCATTTTCAATATCAACCTTTATCTTTCCGCTGTGTGCACGATTGTCAAAAACGATCTGTGTAAAAACAAAGGATGGTTCGTCACTGAGCTTGTAAAATCTTCTAAAATATTATAGAAAATATATCTTTGAGATTGTGGCACTTTTCAGATAGTGTCACCAACCACTATGTGGAAGTCATAACAGTCTGGTAGCTCGTGGTGCCGCACAGTCTGCAGATTGATGGTTTTCAGAGTTAGGTAGATGTTCACAGATAGCAGCCTGGACACACAAACATATATTAGCAGCCAACACTCTTATCATTGGACATGAAACCAATATTTTTAGTTTAGCCACCTTCTGAAATCCAAAGAGAAGTTGGGATGCGTTGCCAGAGTGTCGTTGCTCAATGATTGCATAGGGTGTATGGAAATACAGTCTGTGGTGGAGAAAATGTGTTCAGAAGTTATTTCAGTTTGTATTATTTCGCAGAGGAACGATGAAGCACAGATCCCCGTGAAGAGTAGAACAAGCTTCCTCTTTTCACGTCACAAGTGCACGGTGTGATTATTTTCCATTCTTGCCACGAATCAGCTTCAATAAATATATCTTGCACAGAATATTAAGCATTGACTTAAACAGTGTTGCAGCTACGTTATGTTTTTGTACCTTTATCAATATGCGGATCAATATCAAAGGTGTCGTTTTCAGGATCGATGGTGCTGTTTCTATAAAACACTTGACACAAAGTCAGAGGAGTGTAGTCGCCATTAATGAGCTCATATGCAAGATTACCTACAGTCAGGTTTTGGAGATTGGTATACTGAAAAAACAGACAAAGAGAAAACAGAAAACATCTTTTAATGGTGTAAAATTAGAATTAAATAGAAGATGCCACGTGATTAAACAAAGCTTTCAGTACCCTGTTGATAATGTAGTGAATGTGCTCATTCACATCTCTTTTGGTATAAAGGGAAAGGCTTCCGTGCCGGTGATCCTTGTATCCTTTGAGAAACAGATTCCTGAATGTCATCAAATTTTCATCCTTGAAAGTCACCATCATTTCATTACTCAGTCCAAAAGACACCAACTGTTTGGAAACAGGGGGAGAAAGAAAGTCTCACAGGTAAAAAACAAGTAGCTCCCGACCTCTGTACACATTCACACGTAACTAAAGGATTACCTGGATAGTAGTGATTGCAATTTTTAATATTTGTATCGTCAGTTTCCATGGTTTCCGACCCCTGGCTCTGTACTTCTCGCAGGGATTCATGAAGAAGTATTTGAGCCTCCGTCTAAAATCCTCCACCGTCTTTGTATCTAAGCCGCAGCAGCCATTTCGCTGACTCTCCTCTGACCTGGCAGCCAAAAGCTGCTTGGAGTCCTCCATTAGGCTGAAGGCAGCTTTGTGACACCTGCATCAGAAATGTTTAATAGATAAAGAAAGCATCTGGCCATTCCAGTCAGCCTGATGTTTATCTAACTGGTTCTCCAGCCTGTGTACACTGCTGCTATTCTCTTCTTTATAGTTTAATTGTTATACTTCAATACATACTAATTATGCAACACTGAGCCACAACACACTACAAAACCACAGCCGTGTGGTTACCACACACTGGCCCATTTTAGCTCATAGGGCTTCCTGCAACAGGGAGCAGAGAAATGTACAGATTTGAGAGGTGTGTGAAAACAATTACTACACATATTTTTGCTTAATAAATAAAAGTTAGCTGCTTATATTGGATGTTGTTATATAATTATATATATTTTTTTAAATCAGATGCCAACTACATTTGTTAAACTTCACTCTACACATAATTATGATAATAAATTAAATACCTGTTAGCGTTCGCCGAGCACCAGCGACCCAAAGTTCACCCAGTCTAACACTCAGGGCTTCTCAGCGGTGTATGAAAAACCAGGTGATACAGTCACCACTGCAGCCGTCACCACAATGACTGTCATTCCTCTGCGCCACTTGTAGCTTTTCCAGTTTTTTCCAGAAGTAAAAAAAAGTACGTCTGCACACCCAGAAGCTGACGACACACGTTGAGGCCTGTCAATAACTTCATTTTGACCTCGACAGTTGATGCCCTATTTTAACAATTATCGGCACTCTAACATTTAGATTTTTCATAATCACTACAGGAAATCAACCACACAATGAAAAAAAGGAAAAAAGAAACACAAGCCCAGTCCATATATGAAGAACCTTTAGTTTTATTATTACACGACCAGTGAATAAAGAAAGAAATAGGATGTCACTGAAACTATGTTTACTAATTCAAGACTATTGTAGTGACAAAAACATGAAGCAAATTCTTGATGACTTAATGCACACACATGAAAACAAACAACAGAAAAACATGAGCTGGAGTTCTGCTCCAAGACTGGCTCTTTATACGCACACACATGGATATATATATATATATATATATATGCTCAAGTAGTCGTTCAAGTGTATACAACATAGAAACTGCATTCGGCCTTTACAGCTCATCAGAAAAATCACACCTCCTGTCACAGAAGGGGAGTAGGAGAGGTTAGAGAGGGTGAGTCACATTTTCTTCACTCCTGACACATCACGCTGGAAATCTAACCGCGTTAGAAATGCATCTGATGCACGCGCAGATTTCCTCTTTCTTCTTTGATGGCACCGTTGTCTCATTTTAGTCATATTTTCCATTTTAAACTAGGCAATCTCCATACCCTAGGGTTTGGTTTGGTAACAAATTGGCACCATTTGAAAAACAAAAAAACAATCTTTAAAAGTTAGCCTAGCTGATGAGAAAATGCCCCCATTTTCATTCTAAAAGTTAGCTAATATAGTGGTAGTATACAGTATATGCCCATGTGCAGCAATTTCTCACCAACTGCCTCATCGAAGGCACGAATATCACTGAAAAAGAGAGAGTGAGTGTTGTGGTTGTCTTTTTAACCGGTTGAGAACTGTCTTATTGAGATATGCTCCTAAAAGATGCTCCTAGTTGAAGTTGGCGTGAGGGAGCGTGACCGGAGGGGCTGGAAGTTTGGATCGCCTCCACTGCTAGTGCACCCCGGCGCTCCAGCATCTATGCTGGAGGGGGACTCGACCATTACCTCGTCCGGCAGAGGAGGCGCCCCGGGGTCTCCGGGTTTCGGGAGGCTGGATGAAGTCGTGGAAGGCGTGGCGATGCTGGCGCAAGCCACGGAGGAGTCTCCAGCTTTTTGCGAAGACAGCAGATCGAGTGAGGTGCCCACATCTGAGTTGGAAGGGCTTTTCTCGCTGTCCGGGTGAAAGAGCAAGGTGGAGTTGTTTGAAAATGTTGATGGGAGGTCGCTGGTTGAGGTTGGAGTGCTCAAAGTGGAGTCAGATGAGGAACTGGAAGCTCCTGCCGCTGAGTAATAGAAGAGGGGGAAAAAAAGGGGAACAGTTGTAAGTCATAAAGAACAAACGCATTAAGCACTTTTTTGCATTACACACATACACACAGACACACAACTATTTTAGAAATGGACGTATTAACCTCTGAGGGACTCGATCTTCTCATTTTTGGCCTTCTGCACCTCGTCTGTGATTTTTGTGATGATAAAATTTTGCGAGCGCATCTCCCGGATCGACTCGATCAAGGCATCCAGGCCGCGGGGGTTCTCAGCCAGTATGTCCAGCAGCACGGCCGTCCTCTTGGTCTGCGTAGTCCTGCAGCTGATCTCTTCTGCGTCATCTCGTGTCAGGATCCTGCGAGAGCGCAGGTAGTCCAGGTGGCGATCTGCTCTGATTTTATCGCAGAGGTAGTGCCGCAATCTGGTCAGCACCTGGAGAGCCACAGGAAGTCACGGAGGGCAGATGAAAAGAGAGCAAAGTGAGGTGTCAATGAACAGGAAACACACAGTCCAGGGTTCACCCCCCTTCCCCCAAATCAAAGACTACAGCAGGCCTGGATCTGCTCTCTCTGTGGCACATACAAAGCTGGGTGTCCAGATGTGCCCTAAACGTCCATCTTATTGTCCTGCTGTTAAATCCTACAGAAAGTGGAAATTGTGAGGGCACAAAGAGGGTGTGGTGGGGGCATTTCCTCCTTTTAATAGGCCTATAGCGCTAAGCAAAGCATAAATATATATTTAGCAGTGAATCTGTTTCCACATGGCTCCCCTTATCAGATTGATCTGGCATCGGTTAGGAAGCCAGAGCGTGCCTGAAGTATAATACTCACGTCTTTCTTTATCTCTGCCATTTCATCTTCAGTGAGGTGAGGAGCATCCATCCCTCTCCCCCGCAAAGTGAAAATCCAGGTGGTAACGACTGAAGATTATTTTAATAATCTCGTAGTGGTGGATTAAAACACAACAGCGAATAAATTATAGAAGTTAAATAAGCTGACACCTTATTATTAATCGATAAAAGGTGGTCTGTCGACTATCCATTCAACTTTTTTTGTTTCAACAACGGAAAAAAAATCCCCGGACTTCCTGATTGTGTCGAGGCTTAACTACGTCAACACACGGCAGAGACGTCGGTTTCACACTCAGCGCTGGTTTAAACCGGTAACTGTGAATAAAAAAGTCCGCGTTCACCTCAAGATTTCTCCTGTTTTACCAGGACAACTCCAAACTGAGCAACTATCTTCGCTTTGAGTTCTGATGTGCGACTTCTTGCGCTTCTGCACTTCCGACCATGGCCACGCGCGCTTCTCGATAACTCCATTAGGTGGCGCTGTTGGACCTTCTCGCATACAAACACCACGTTTGGCAGGTTTTGCTATACCCCGCAGTTTAGTCTGACAGCATTCATTCAAAGAAAAGTAAGTGATACACTTGCCTAAATACACCCAGTAAACTATAGGCCAGTGGTGTCAAACATGTGGTCCAGGGCACAGAAGTGGCCCTCTTAAAGGCTCCCATAATACTGATGAATGTGGAAAAACTGAGACATAGTTTTGCAGTTATTTTTCTTATGTGATCTCAAGGTTGCTTATTAAATAAGAAAATAAAATAATGTGAAATGTTACCACTTATAATCTGGCAGGGTTTTGAAGAAGCAGGAGGGATATGAGCTTTTTACTTTACTAGTTTACTCTTTGTGGGCAATTAACTAAGCTGAGTTTGGCACCCCTGCTGTACTGTGTGGCTATACTGCACAAGATATTTCTCTAATCTACAAAGTAACTTAAGTACAGAGCAACTCTCAGTTAATTTCAATTTCAATTTATAATTTTTTCTGAATTTTTGTTGCTGATTTATTGTAATGACGGAAATCTGAGGTGAAACGTAGGCTTTTTTAACGTGATGCAGGGCTTTTCAGTTGCTTCACAAAAAACGTCTATGCTTTACGATCTGTTTGCATGTTTTGTATGTGGAGTCACTGCAAAGTAGCTGTCGCCATCAGATAAATTTTCCTTGTGAAAAACAGCATAGAAGTTAAATAGTGTTAGAAAATTCAAGCGCCTTAAATTTGAATAAATTAAACGTTTGAGCTTTGCCTGCCAGTTTCTTATGTGCACCTAAGACGTAAGACATCTGAACATTAGATTGTTCTCTTCTAGTCTGTAGTTTAAACTGTTAATATTTAGTCTAAGTTCCTCCGTAGAAACTGGATGAACAGAGCCTTGGAAAAAAGCTCAGAATGCAACAAAGACAAGATCAACAGCACCACAAACTAAACAATCTGAAACAGCATCTGCAAAAATAATTATAATAATAAGGTTATTACTACTACACAAACAACTAAGGGTTTAATAAGTTAGTTGGCTGTGGTGGAGCTGATTTTATGTAAACTGTTGATTTGCTGGTCTTGTTTGGAAAATCTGCACAGTAACTCGGAGAATTAGAGTAAATATATTTCTGTTACTGTCAGTCATGCAGCTGGACACATTTTAAAGTGTAGTACTGAGCTTTGAAATGCGATGATCACAATGTAAATTTTCAGCAGGCAGAGCCTGTATCATAGATTAGGTCACAGAACAGTTTATATACAAATAAAGCTGAAGGGTCATAGCATTAAAATCACCAGCAGTTCAGAGAGAACACCGGGTCAAAGTTCACATATACAAAGTGAATTGCTGCGCAGTAGAAGTGATCTGACACTCTGGTAAACATGAAGTCTATCACAGAATGGCTGAACGCATGCAGATTTTCACTTCCCCCTAATAGCACAAAGAGAGGATGGGCGCTCCCTGAGGAGATTGTTATCAGGCTTGTTTTGTCATGCTCTGCAGTGTAGTACTGTATGTGCTGTGTGAAAACACCATCAGCAAGCAGAAATGTATATGAACTGTAAATCAGATCGCAGGACTCATGCAGCGATAATGATTTAAAGCCCCTCACAGCTGTCTGGCTGCTGTTTCATCGCAGCAGGAGAATGTCAGATGTTAAACAAAAATGTGGAATGAGCGTTAACAGAAACAGACAATGCGTGCCCACTTGTCCTCGCCACAATTCCCTTCATTCATGCTGGACAGCAGAGCTCAGCAGCCTGGAAATGACCAGCTGTGCGTTTCAAATGAACCCAGTGTGCTGACTCCAGAGTGCCCTTCGTGCAGAGCCAGACACAAAAGAAAAGAAGACATTTATAGAAATGATGTCACCGACGGGACTTTCATTCATATCAGCACAAAACCCACTCTCACGTAACAGCCAAGACACCACCGTGACCTCGCATCCACTGTGGTTTTACAATATGCGTAAGTGAGGAGGTATTTGTGCTTTTCAGTCGAAGAACCATGCAAAATTACTTCTTTTATAGCTTTTTTTCACACAGCCTATTATAACCTGCCCACCCACCTTACTCATTCGAGTGTATCCCATTAAGTATCAGGGATATGTAATTTTAACAGGGCGCTGCAGAGTACTGTGCAATGCACGTCCACCCATGGCTTGTATCAAGTATCTGTGGGAGGATAAAAGGTCTCTCTAACACAATAACTTTGAAGTAATTACATGTCGCTCTCATTAAGTGAATTGCAAGATATGAGAAAATGCACGCTTTATATACGCGTCTTTGCAAGACGCGTATATAAAGCCCTCTTTAGTTTCACATCTGTCTGCTCTTGTAACCAGGTTTGAGACCCACTGGGTTCATATTCATTAAGCATCTCAGATATATATTTAGGGCTGTTTGTTTGAAATCTGTACCTTACTGGAAGTCAAGGCAGGGAGCTGAGAATCAGAGCCGTCTAACAGTCTTTTTAGTAAGGACAATAAAAAGAGCCTTGCATTAGGCAGCCCTGCGAGACATAAAGACATGAATAAGCTTCTCTGGATCTTGCAAAATGTAGTAAGAAGCCCAGGATGTTCCTTGAATTTGATCATCTTTCATTGAACTTTCTAATACGATTTTCTTATTTATAATTTGTCTACTTTTAGTCTACTGATTTTATGCCCGTGGGTCAGTGTCTTATTTTATCGATTGTTGTTTTTGCACATGATGTGAAAATTTGAGGCAGGGCGGAGGTTTCACTTACAGTGATCAGTTCAGCTTGTAATACAACGTGGCACTTTTTTATTTATTATTTCTTTTTGAAATATAAACTTTCAGTGGCTTCCAGAAACAGTCATATCTAAACTATCGTTCTGCTTACTATATGCACTGAGTTGCTGCCATATTAGATATTCAGCATCACTGATATCTGCTCGAAAAAGTGATGACTACTCCTTTAAGCCAGGGATGTCAAACTCATTTGAACTCATCGAGGAGCAGATCTTTGATCTTACATGGGCCAGTCTTAGTGTAAAGAAGCTTAGTTTCCCATTAGAAAAGACCAGTTACTTTGGTGTAGCGTGAATGACCATGCCCTCCACATCCGCCTCTGTTCTTCTTACCTAACATGTTTGTGCAGATTCTTGATATTATAATTTTGGAAGGAAATTTCCACACCAAGCCACAACAGTCAGCGATTTCCAGGCATCGGTAAACACACCAAGCTCCCGCTTGTTCGCTCTTCATCTGCCGGAGCTGGCGCTGACTCAGACCGGCCTTTGTAACCTTAGTTAGATAAGACGGCGGCTGTGCCAATCTGCTCTGCTCAGCCTCTTATTCTCACAGGTTATAATGAAAGGAAAGGTATTCTCTCCCTTATAAATGCCTTTGTTCTTTGATGTGGATGGAAGAAGATGCTTTTTACCCTGGCATCTATTTCAAAGAAACCTGCAATGCTCATCCTGAGAGGAATTTTGCTTCAGGCATTGCTTGGGTTTTCTTTTTATTCTTGTTTTTTTTTTTTTTGTCTAGCATCTCATTCTGACTGCTCTGATTTAGACTAAACAGAGGATTATCAAGTTTCAAACATTTCCAGGAGGCTCTCGTCTCTCATTGTGAAATCTTGAAGTTAAACTCAATTCCATCCACACGCCCTTACAGGGTGACTGAAGGGAAATTTAACCTGTAACACTAGCAAGGCTGGAAAATACAAACATTATTCGCAGACAACGTGCAACAGTCTAAACAGAGCTTCAGCTCAGGGAGAAATTCAGTCAGTCATAGAAATATGTGGCTTTCCTTCAATATTTATGTCAGAACTTGCAGTGGCCCGGTGTCAAATCCCTTAAGGAGCAATGTTCACATGCATTTCAGCTGCCAGGTATACATACATATATGGTCCAGCACCAGCTGGTAAAGTCTTGGTTAGGCGCAAAAGAGCTCCTTCATAACAGTGATATAGACTGAATAATGCAATCATTGTGTCACGAAACAGAATAAAATCAGTTCCCAGCACTGCAATCAAAGAATTATCCATGCCATTGTTTTGCATGTTATGTAAGCTTTTATTTCTGGAGAATCTTAATGGTCAAAAATATCTGCTTTCTTTGGAAATGAGAAAGCATTACACAGTAAAACCGGAGAGAAAGCCCTGGCAGAGTGGAAGCTGCACAGGGTGGTTCTTGGCACAGCGAGTGTGAGAGGAGGGAGGGAGAAACTTCTGCTTGGCTTATGGGAGGACGTGTGGAGAAGCATTCCTCTCATAGTTTCGGGACACCTCTTCAGTCTACGTCAGATCTGCTTGAAGTGGATAAAAGGGGATGGGGACTCTCAAAGAGGGAGAACAAACAGCCGTCATCCCGCTGCCAGGTCTGCTGAGTGATATTAAGGAGGCTGGTTTTTCTTTTTCACTCAGGAGAGATTGCTTCAGCTGGAGAAGATGTGGAAGGTCTTTGTCGTCGAGATCTTCTGCTTTACGCTGGTGAGGAAAAGGTGTCTTATGCCTGCTGTTATATTCTGTGGGTGAAAGAAATGTTGATTACAAAGGTGGGATGTTTGGTCTAACCTCAGGTGTTAGCCTCGTGCCCGAAGGACTGCCAGTGTCCCCTTGAAGTCCTAACATGTGCAGACAGCGTCAGCCTCGTGCTGGACAGCTGTGGATGCTGTAAGGTTTGTGCCCGGCAGCTCTTTGAAGACTGCAGCAAGACACAGCCATGCGATGCTGCGAAGGGACTGGAGTGCAACTTCGGAGGGTCGGATAAGGGAGTCTGTCGAGGTACGCTGACTTCATTTCCCTTTTCTGATCTTTTTTGTTTTTGTCACCTTTTCCCTTTTCATCACATCAGCCTCTCCCTGCTTCTGTTTAACAGCCAAATTAAACGGGAGAACATGCGAGTACAACAGCAAGATTTATCAGAATGGGGAAACCTTCCATCCTAACTGCAAACACCAGTGCACTTGCATCGACGGTGCAGTCGGATGTGTCTCCCTCTGCCCACGTGAATTCTCGCTGCCCTTGTTGGGCTGTGCCAAACTAAGACGGGTCAAGGTACCGGGAGGGTGCTGCGAACAACTAGTCTGCCCTGAGGAAACAGAGGCACAGAGCGCTATGATAAAAAAGCACAGAAGAAAGTTCAGCAAAGTCAAAACCACTGAAGACGACCTCTCCAAAAAGAACGAGTTCACCTCTGTGTGGGGAGAATCAAAGTCTCTGCCTGGTGAGCAGTCTTGATATTTATTGCATTTAAGTCTTGCTTGCTTTCATTATTTTAACCCACCTTTAACTTAAAAAATATCTGCTTAAAAACATCTGCACAGCTTTCAGGAGTTATTCAGTGGACCACATGTTTGCCAGAGGAGTCCAGTGCATGCCTCAAACCACAGCCTGGTCACCCTGCTCCAAATCCTGCGGCTCTGGTGTGTCCACGAGGCTGACCAACCGCAACAAACAGTGCAAACTGGTGAAAGAAACTCGAATCTGTGAAATCCGTCCCTGCAAACAGTTGACCTCGAAGGTACACCATATGCTGATGAACATATACAGTGATTATTTCATTAGAGGCTGAGAACCCATCCATGTTAAGACTAAAGCCTAGATACATTCTCTCTTGCAGAAAGGTCAAAAATGCAGTCACAGAGGAAAAGCGAGCCATCCAGTTCACCTGTCATACGCAGGTTGTCGTAGCCTGAAAAAGTTGCAGCGCAGGTACTGTGGATCCTGCTCAGACGGACAATGCTGCAGGCCACACAGGACCCGGACAATGCCTCTCCATTTTCGGTGCAAAAACGGAGAGACCTTCAGGAGGATGGTGATGACGATCGAATCGTGCAAGTGTAATCTCAACTGCTCCAACAACGCTAAAAAGACACCTGAGCTCTACAGCCCTCTCGATGACATCCACAAACTGAAAATTTAACCGAAAGGCTTGATTTAAGCGCAAGAAGACTTCTGCTTCATATTATTGGAGCCTTGTGGTTTGCTTCTTTGTGAAGCTGCTTTTAAATGGTGAATGCTGCATTTTAAAAAATGTTTTTCCTGCTTATTCTTTGTACATACTTAATAATATTTAAGCCTCTAATGACAAAACATGTTAAATCGCAGTGTGCAAAGTTATGGCAGCTGCTAAATGTGTTGTCACGCGGTGGCTGTTTCTTTTGATTCACTGCACTCGTGTTATTTAAAGGGATTTATGTTTCATACTTTTTTCATTTTAATGCAAAGTTAATGTTAAGCATGGAAAACTGTACTTTTGGTTTACTGTCCTGGTCTCTGTAATTGGTTGTCAATGCAAAACAGAAATATGATTGAAGCCTGGACACACAGACTGTTAATTTCATGGTTAGCAGATTATAATCTCCAATAAATTCACGGAAAACCAATTCAGTTCCCCACTATCTTACTTAAGAGTTTGTCTTGAGAAAAACTGGAAATTCTCAGGGGGTCTTTGCTGCAACGATTTTCAGTCTCTTTAGCATCTGGCTGACCTACTTCTGAGAGGACCTACATGTCACTGAATAGTTTTGGGAATGTCTGTAATGTAAACTTCTCAGCAGTTTGCCTGGTGCTGCACAGATGCTCGGCACAAGTTGCAGATTTTTGCTTTCTGGCAGTGGTATAGGCTTACACCGATAATCTAAACCCTCCACTGCGATTTACGATATGCAGAATAGAAGGCAAATGTGACAGAAATATGACTGTGAATTGCACGGCCGTGGCTGTTGTTGCTCTTGTGTCCTCTTCAGTATTTCTGTCAAAGGTGGGCTCTGCTGTGCCATCACTTGGCTCTGTCGCAATCAATCACTCTGTCTCTGCTGCTGATTAGAGAGATGCTGGTCCTGTCCAGGACCAGCATTCACTAGATGCACCTGGTTAAGGTCTCATTGAAGACTGCTGTTTGTGATGCACACACTAAGATGTGTTATGCTGATTCGGTTTTAGGGCTATGAGCAGATAATAAGGAGCAGTGATGATGTTTTTGAGGTGCTTGTGTATGCCTGGGGTTGTGCACACATCAGCCATTTCTTTTGTTTAGCTACATTAGGGAAAAGGGTGTTGCTGCTCTGCTCTTTGTTTTGGGCAGGGAGTTGTTTTCTTTTGAACTTTAATAATCTCTTGAACTCTATAAATCTCCCGTCTGTTTTTTTAAATTTTCTTTGATTTGCCAACCCCTATTTATCCATGCAGTTTGCCTCTTTTGTAATTCATAAATCTTGCGTTTGGCTGTCTGGTTGAATGGCACTTTCCACCACCCCTGAGCTGAGCTGGGACATAACTACTAACCCAACCAACAGGTTTACGCAGAGCTGCAAGGGTTTATGCGTCAGGGCTATCAAAGTTGTTGAGCCTAACAAGCACATAAGCACAGGGTGTGCCCATCTCAGCGCTGAAATGCCGAAAGTCAGATGTAAGCAGAAAGCAGCAGAAAAAAGCAAATTCCCAAAGTGATCGACAGAATTACGTAAACAGGCAAGACCACAAGAGCAAAGGAAAAAAACAGAAGTACTGACGCACGCAGCCATGAAATCGTTCCATCCCCCGAAGGAGAGCACAATAGAGCTTTGTCTCTGAGAACTTGAGAGGAGGCCTGCTCACTCGAGGGAATACGTCCGATGCAGGAACACATCAGTCTTTCAGAGGTCTGGACTCACAGTAGTTTATTACCATAGATACAGCAGGGAAGCACAAGCAACAGTGAGAGAACAAAAGAAATAAACACAGTACATTTATGGCTCAGTTTTTTGGTAAATCTCGGTAAGTCACGCTGCAGCTGATACCGGAGCTCTTGTGTTTGCCTCCAGGCCAGATTAATATAAGATTTTTATTAGACAAACCAACAACAGAGATAGAAGTGGGCAGTTACATTTGCAACCTAAAGGCATGGACTTCACAGCTAATGGCTACACATAATTATTCTCAGTCCAGCTGAGAATCCTAATATAAAACACAACCAGTGCACACCACACCTTTGCTATGTCCACTACCAACAAACAAACAAACGCCTGTTTCCAGCACCGGGAGGATGACAGGGAAATTAAAAGTAAAGACGCTGAATTTTGAATCAGCTTCACTAGTCAGAGCAGAAGATTTATTATGGGTGATGGGCAAAGTCACAGCTGGAAATATGGATTCATTCTATCGCAGGTAAACACAGCTGGGACAAAATGTGACCAAACAAAAAGTCATTTGCAATTAAAATTAGATTTTTTTTTTTTGTGAATCCAAAAGTTTTGCTTTCTGCTGAACTGACGATGGGAATGACGGCGTGGAAGCTTCCACAGTTATCAGCGTTATAGGATCAAGCCCATGGAGAAGATGGAGCAGAAATCTGTTTCTAAATGTATAAACTGCTTATTGCATATTGATAGCAAGAATGTTATATTTGAATTGGGATTTATATTATTCTGGCAGCCTTTAGGGGCTAATTTATAATTTTGCCAATTATCAGATATCGCAACCCTGTCAGAATGTGCAAGTTTAAGTGAAGAGGGCATAGTGTTACACGAGGGTGGCACTTATTTCAGGTACTACACACAGTGTGCTACGTCTTTAATATGGCAGAGTGTAGATAGCCATTACTGGCAGCTGGGAAACCCTTCCACCAGTGATGCACTGTGCTGTGCACCACATTTGCATGTTTTCAGTTCACTCTGAATTCATTCAATTCATAAATTCACATTTTAATCACACATGTATCTGACTTACAATCAAACATTATTTGAGGGGAGTGCCTGCTGCTTTACTTGCACATGTAATTTATCATCGCACACGTGCACTGTTTGAATGCATTATAAAGACACAAAGGTTACTGAAAAGGATGTAAGCACCAATAAAATGTTTCGTTTTCAAGCACCACTTGCATTGGCCAACAACTGCTGTCATAATTTCGTTGGTGTTCAGTTGCAGGCTGTGGAAAAAAGTTGTTCAGCTGTAGCCACTTGCATAAGACAGATCAAGTACATACTGCATTGTGCCTAAAATAACCTGACTGCTAGTCCTTCTAGCAATTTCGTGTTACCCTGCTGGAAAGTCCTTTTGTTTTGTTTTTTATAAATGAATCTATTAAAATTTATAAAATAATAGAAATTGAAAAGAGGTTTCCTGCAGTCCAGTGTAGTCTTTGCTATCTTACATTCACACCGGAAATATGTAATATTTATGCAACAGTACTATTAGGTGTTACTCAACTCAGAGTTTGGTCAATCTTATGTAACAGTTATGCAACAAGCTCCTTGTCATACGGACAGAATAGCACCAAAACATCATAGTTCAAGATGTACAAACATCTGAAAACATTACAGTATTTTAAAAAAACAGCAGCAGATTACTTGATTCCTGGAAATGCAGTTCAAAAATCTGAATGTACAAGTAGAAACTGATCAAACCAATTAAAAATCAGGGTTTAGTTACCCCCATGTTGCCCTTTTAAACAGACCCAATAAATATCAGAGTGCAAAACAAATCAGGATTTAAAATGCAAACCTCCATCATTTCAGAAAATAAGATGTTGATGTTTGCAGTCCTTCATCAAACATGGCCTTATAAGAGTTTTTGAGGAAATCGACATAATTCTGAATGCTTCGCTTGTGGCTCTCTGATTGGTCCAGGCTAAGCTGCAGGTCCTTCAGACGTACCTCATACTGCTTCTCTGCCTGCAGATTGAGAGACACACAGACAGATAATACAGCTCAGCGCTGCCTTCCAAAAAATGTTCCATCTAATGTGAGTGCGTCTTCTCTATGGCCCTTACGTTGAGCTTGCTCTGGCGAAGAAGCCTCAGCTCGCTTTCCCTTCTGCTCTTCTCGGCTCCCAGCTCTAGGATTTTGGTTTGAAGAGCCTCTTCCTTGGAAACAGCCTCTTCTTTCACCTTAGTGACCTACACGGGGTGAAAATGTGAAATATCATTATGTGATGCGCCATTTTCTGCACGATAAATCTCTCTTTGACACCAAACTGGAGTAACACAAGTTGTTTTATACAGATACATGGAGTAACACAAGTTGTTTTATACAGATACATGCATATCTAGCTTTGCCTGTTTACTATGTAGCTCCAGCTGGATTACTTACGGCATGGCTTCAAACAAATCTCGACTGAACTGTTAGGTTGTAATGTCTTACTTGATGATCTGAGTGAAGAACAGGTGCTGAAGTGTTGGACAGCACTCCAACAGCTAACCTGTACCTGTTGTCTGACGTCTGCTAAAGCTGTCTCCAGCTGTCGGCTGACGGCCTGACACTCTGATGAGCGCTGATCCAGCTGCTGGTTGCTGTAGCTGAGAGCTTCCTCCTGAGCTGCGAGCCTCCGTACCAGCTCCAGGTTCTCTTGCTGCAGTTTGTCTGTCTCTCTACACACACACACACACACACACACACACACACACACACATGCGCGCACACACACACACACACACATACACACACACAGAGTAAGCATCAATTTCTATACTGATAATATGAGCAGGTTTTTGATATTTGAGGTCTTACTTTTGGATAGAAATCAGTTTTTCTTGTAATTGTAAGTTGGCCTCATGAATGGACTCCCTCATCTCTGCAGATGATCTCAGCAGTTTGCTTTGACTCTCCATCTGCGTGTGCAAAACATAAAATTCAGAGTTGCCTCCACGGGCTACAAGTAAATCGTGCAGAAAACATTTAATCACACCACGTGCACAAACGCTACTTTCAAACAACAACTACCTCCACGAACTGCTGAACATTTATCAGCCTCAAATCGAGCAGATTCGAGATAAAAACTCAGTATTTCTGACGGAAACACGTGGTCGTCTGGTTCTACCAGAGATCACACTGGGGAGCACAAAAGACTCGCTAGTGGGCTCAACCTAAACATTGCACAGCAATCACAAACATCGAAACTCACAGCAATATTAGAAACCACAATGCACCAGCGGTCACCTGAGGCTATACTGCCACCCAGTGGTCAAAAAATAGGAAAATGACTGCATTTTACATTGACCACAGCAGCTGGCTTTGCACACCTTAACCTGCAGTTGCCTAATGGACTCTGACTTTTCTGAGCACTTCCTCTCCAAGCGCTGCAGGTTTTCCTGGCACTCAAAGAGACTCTGCTCAGCTGCATTCAGTAACTCGGGGTAAGCGTTCAGTTCCTCCACGCGCCCCTGCAGCTCCTGCCTCACCTGGGCTCCAGAGGAGGAACGGCACAAAAAAAAAAAAAAGAGTTGGGTTTCGGGAAATGAAACATAGTAATATGCTTTAAAACTCAGCACACCTCTCCAAGAGATGCTCACGGATGTACATGATTCATTCAGCTGTGGTTATGCAGTTGAAAAAAGAAAACTAAGTGCACAATGACTGTCCATTAAACAGCAGGTGAAACAGAGCTGGACAGACTTGTAATGGGCTGTTAGAATGAGTTTTTAGCTTAACAGAAACTGTGCATGTAACGTAAATAAAATAAGGCAAATTAAAGAGAAGGGCGGTGGTACCTTCTCAACTTCTGCCTCTTTTCCATCTCGTGTCTTCTCTGTTTCTCTTAAAAGACTTGTATATTTTATCTTTAGATCATGGAGCTCAGCTTGAAGTTGTGCAACCTGGAGGGGAAAAAAATACAGAACATTAACATGAAACCTGCTGTGGCCTTCCCTGTCATTAAAAACTAGTGTCATTGATTCAGTGGCTTCTACAGACCACATTCTGTATCTGTAAATAATAGGTTTCTTGTAATCCTGTTTGGAAACTACTTTATCCTAACTGTGTCAGGAAAAAAAGACCTTCAAACATGATAGAAAGATAGAAAAATACTAATACAAAAACAAGAACTGAAAGGTTAATATTTGAAATTAATACATGAGAAGTAAAAGGTTTGAAAGATTTAAGAACATAAAACACTCTTTGTTGTGTGTCAGTGTTTATTCAGAAATGATCTTTAAGAGGATCAAATATGATGAAAGAGTGCCTTTTTTTCTCTCGACATTGCACATTTTTTGATGTTTGTTGACTCCAGAGTAAAGTAGTGGGTCTATAAAAATAACAGTCAAACAAACATGATTAAAAGTTTCCCTGCAGAGAACAAGGGATGGTCTAGGTCTGGTTTGTCACTGCTGGAAAAAAAAATACTTTGATACGTTTGATTTTTGAGGCTCTGCCTGCACAAAAAAAGGAAGAGGGCAGCAAAACAGATGCTCAATTCCTTGCTGTGAATTCACTGGACAGTCACCTGTACTAATCTTGCGTGCATCGGACATCTCACAGGCACAGCGCTGCGGAGCTGACCCACTGTCACTGGGTGATGTCTGGAATATTTCAGGGCTGCAGCACACGAGAAAGTAAAAGGTTTTAAATCAAAACACAAACCTGATAACGGCACTGTTCAGCTTGGTGCTTCTTCTCCTGTGAGACGATCTTCTCCTCTACGAGGGCAGACTCGTACTCAGCGAGCTGCTGCTCCAGCTGAGCTACAGATTCCTGGGATAGCAGAGAAATCCAAACAGTTTTAGTAAAATAAGGTCCTCCTAACTCCTAAATATGGAAACCGGACTTCTTGCAACATGTCTGTGCTTTTTGCCTTTCACAGTAATGACTCTCACATACAAGCTGTTCAGTAACTTGTACCTTGAGTGTTGCATTATTTATGCCGAGTTCTCCGTTGTCTGAGCTGAGTTTTTCGAGCCTTTGCATCAGAGTTTCATTTGCTGCAGTTAGCTCGTCCTTCTCCTTCTGCACTCTCATTGTCAAGTCTGCAATTTGGCTTTAATGGAAACAGACACTTACAGTTAATGCATCATCTGAATATTGATGTACTCAGAAATGACAAATGGCTGTGAAGGAGAACCAACCAACCTTTTCAATAAGTCTATATGAGCAACGAGTTTGTCTTTCTCATCTGTTGTCTGCTCCTTCTGTCGTCTCCTCGAGTCTCTCTCTGAATGGGCTTTGGCCAGCTGAGCATCCTGTTTGCCAAACAAGACAAACAAAGATCAAACGGGATCCTCAACTGCTTCTGAAGCCAAAATAATGAACCAATTTGACCTCGTACCTTTTCCCTCAGCTGTGCATAGCATTTCTCAATAGCAGCTTCAAATCTCTCCGCTCTCAGTTTCTGAGCTCGGGTGGCTTTCTTCAGAGATTCTTTGTCCTGTGCTGCCTTCGCAGACAGAGAGGTGATAGACCCCTTCAGGTCATCAATCTCCAGCTTCTGCTCGGTTATGAGTCTCTCCAGAGCCTGCAAAGACCATGAACCCACAAGTGTGCAGTTTTAATTTATACATTAATAAAGCAGTTTAGTCTACAGCGCAGCCAGCTGATAAAGGTGTCTGTACCCGTAATTGTACAGTAAGACGATTGTTTTCAGCTTCCTTGTTGCGTAGCTGTCCCTGTAGGTGAGCACGTGTTGCCTCTGCTGACTTGGTCATGTGAACTGCACTCTTTACGTTCTCCTGTTGAAGCCAGCGTGAACATATAATTTCATGGGCAATGACTTAATTCATCCGCAAATGATCTCTGCTGTACTTACCTGCTCTTTTCCCCGCAGATCTATCAGCTCCCTGACCTTCTGTTCACTCTCACTCAAATCTTTCTTTAAATTCTGCGAGAAAAAACATGGAAACCAATGCATATTATCACATCACCATATCTTCACTTTAGGTGCATTAAAATCGCTTTTGTAAAGTTAACACCTTTAGAGTATGTCCTGTGACATCAGAACCAATGTGGCTGTGCTCTCACTAGTTTAATCACCAAAGGCTGCCCCTTCCTCCAGCTCATCTGGGGGAACACCGAGGCATTCTCAGGCTGAGAGATATAATCTCCAGCGTGTCAAGGGTCCACCCTAGGGCCTTCTCCTGGTAGGACATGCCTGAAACACCTCACTGAAGAGGCATCCAGATGCCCAAACCACTTCAACTGGCTCCTTTTGATATTAAGGAGTAGTGGCTCTACTCTGAACACCTCCCAAATGCCCAAGCTCTTCACCCTATTTATAAAGGAGAGCCCAACCATGCTTGGAGAAAGCCCATTTCGGCTATTTTTATCTGTGATCTCTTTCTTTCTTTCACTTCCTAGAGCTGAGTCACACTCAAAGGTAATAAAACAGTTGAGCTGATACTGAAAACTATATTTCTACTTCTGTTCCCCAGAAAAATTTAATCAGTGAGGGAATCTATAAAGAATTTGATCACAGGCGGAGACAATGGAATTTGAATAAATGAAATATTATTAATAATCCATCTATCTAACCGCTATAACTTATCCTTTATCACTTTGTTTCACTGACTAAATCTTCACAAGCTAATCACAAAGCTTAATTCCCTTACACTTCCCTCTTTTGTGCCAATGCATAGGTGTAATAAAGCACTCACCTCATTTTCACTCTCAGCCTGCATGATCTTCTTCAGCAGCGTGTCAATCTGCTGGTCTGCATCAATTCGATTTGCCTTTGCGGAATTATTTAAAGCAAGGACATAAATAAACTCATTTTCAGACTAAATACAGTTGACTTATACGGTGTAGTAGCAGTTTAACAAACCTCTGCCTCTTGGAGCTGTTTCAGTTTCTGTCGCACTGACTTATTAATTCGTCTAAAGTCCTCTAGCTTTTCCAGCAGAAGTCCACGCTGTCTTGCAATTCGGCGTTTATCTTTGGCAGACTGTCTTGAATCCTTAATTGACATTTAAAAAAAAGAAAATTAGAGAAAATGCAGGACAGCAGTTGCAAAAACATATGTTTAATGTAGGAAACCCTTTGGCTTTACACAAAGCTAGCTTTATCCAAAATTGCTGCAGACCTACAGCATACTCATCGTCCATGGCGTCTTTAAACGACACTAGCTGGATTGCTGCAGAATTGGCAGCTGCTTCTGCATCCATTAGCATTTTCAGGAAAGGAATCTTTTTATTGCCAAAATCTCTGAGACTAAAATAAAAAGGAAAGCAAGAAAACACTTTGAATCAGTAAAGTTGTGGTAGCTGGCAAGTGCATATTCAAATGCATCATCCTTGTAGGACCTCACCAGCTGATCTCACACTCTGGGGTTCCTGTATGGAGACTGCTGCGTGCCCTGGTCCTACCAACAGGCTCATGACTGTTGTCTAGGTCGCCACGACTCAGAGTGAAATCCTCCCTGGTACCGCTGAAACCAAGGGGGGGACTTCGAAGGTCATCCTCTGGAGACATGCCTCTTACTGTCAACAGATGTGCATATAATATGCTCAAATGATATGTGCAAATATACCATGCGCAAAAACCGGCTATGCATGGGAAATACAGAGTTACACAGGCAAACCTCCAAGGGGCATCCCTGGGTGAAACCAAGGAAAGCGTGTAGTCCTTCATATGACTACTGGACTGTGGAGTCATAATGTCATGTGTGACAATTTCTTTAGCATCTATGATCTGGGGCAATACCTTCTCAGGAGGAAACTTACCATGGTGGACAAAATAAAATAAAATAATACAAATTTACTTTACTATAACGTCACTATAGTTAATAATATTAAAATAATAATAATCAGAAGAAATGTGTTTTAGACATTTTGTTGTAATACTTCTCAGTAATAGTTAGGTAATAGAACCACAACCTTTTATTTCTTCATAAAATTCTCGTAAGGTTCAGTTTATCGGGTTTTTTTTAGAATGAAAAGAAGCGATATGCTGTAATTCAGGGGTGTCAAACTCAAATACACAGTGGGCCAAAATTCAAAACTGGAACAAAGTCGCGGGCTAACATTAATATTTATTGAAAAAAAAAAATCTTCCTCCAGATTTAAGAATGAATCTCTTCTTATGGACTCAAATAATTTTTGCTGGAAAACTGAATATGGAACAAGCAAAGCTTAATACTAAACAATATATATATTAGCTGTATAATACCAGTAGGCCAGCTCTAATAGTAATTTGGTATGGCTTTGCGGGCCAAATGTAATTAGGCTGCGGGCCAAATTTGGCCCGCGGGCCAGAGTTTGACACCTGTGCCGTAATTGATCATTTTAATTCATAAAAAAGCCTAACAATGTAACCCATTGGTTACAAACAAACTGGATGATAAACCGCTGTTTTGAGGGTATTTTCTGGGTTATTTAGAACACTGGTCAAAGGCGACCCTTCAACATAAGAGATAGTTACAGACAGCTAACACAAGAGGAAGGTTAAAAGTCCTGCTTGGACATGAGAAAGCCAGTCGCCAAGGAAGCTACTTCTTAGCAACAGACAAGGTTAAGTGGCTGTTAAGCTTTAAGGAACTCTAAGCGTAGCAAGCACTTTAGTAATTATACCAGGTAAATCGCCATTCAAGTCTAGCGTGTTTAATAACGCCTAAACCAAGTAACCACTTACAAAAGCATGCCTGAAAATTTAAACAACACTTACTCCTTCGCCTTGTACCTCTTGTAAATAACGCTCCTCCACTCTGGGGAGTCGCCTCTTGGAAAGTCTCACTCGATTGGTTAGATGTGAGGCAGCGTAATGACGTCAACTGACTATCTTTTTGTTGATTCGTTCCCTAAGTGTTGAATGGGCGGGGCCAAATTTGATTAGACCCGTAAACAGCCAATGAACAAGAGAAAGCAGAGAGCCTAGTTGAAACCATAGAAACGGAAAAGAAGTTTACTGTCGCGATTGCTAGTACGCCATCCTCGGGAAGCATCGAAGATCATTTAAAGAGATATTTATTATTAAGTAAAGGTAAAAATATAGTATGACGTGGTTTAGATATGTACGCAGCTAAGTTTGGCTGATTTACATTTACCTTGCTGTTGCGATACTGCTTCGCTATCCCGGAGTTTTGTAAAGATAAGTTAGCTGAAAAGCTAATGCTAACCAGCGTCAGTTGAGTGGAAATGTTCAAAGCTAAAATACTCTTTGTTGGTCCCAATGAGGTGAGTAAATTCTCATTTGACTGTACACCGGTTGCTATTTTACCTTTCAGATTCCAGCAGGTAGCGAAAAGCGTCAACAGTGAAATTTGCCTTTTCTAATATTACCAGAGAAAGCACTGGACTTAAGTATTCATACCCTTCACCGTTACATTTACGGTCCGAGTTTATTTGTCACTACTCAACAAAGTAATGTATAAATTCAGTCGTAACGAAGGGAAAAGGAGTGATAAGTACTATGCAAAAGTCTCGAGCCACCCCTCATGTTTTTGTTTATATTTTGATAGGTAAATGGGTGCAGAGATTTATTGAAAAATGTGCAAACATAGATTGAAACACAGTATATTAAATTAAAAACTGAGTTTGTAACATTATAACAAGTTTGGAAGTCGATATTTGGTATGATCAACTTTCAACGAAAGTCGGAACTCTTTGAGACACGCTTTCGTGTAATTTCTTTAAGTACCTTCAGGAATATTTCTCTACGGTTTTTGAAGGACATTCAAAACCATTCTTTAGATGGTGGCCGACTTTTTCTGTTCTGTTGAGAACTGGGCTCTGGGGAGCCCAATAAATGGCTGGTTGTGTTCAAAATGCGTGCTTTTCAGTTGTACTATTTGTGTGTGCATTTGCTGCATGGGCAATATGTTTGGGACTTCCAATAGTGTTAACATACTACACAGGTCATGAACAAGATTTTTTTTTAATTTTCCTTGTAAGTGGGCTAAAGCAGTTAAGTAAAAGTAGTCTAACATAAATGTAAGTGCTGTAATTTGATTATTTTAATAAACCATGTAACTTGGATGGATTCGATGCTGGCGTGACCACAGTGCATCCATCCATCCATCCATCCATCCATCCATCCATTCTCTTCCACTTACCCTTATCAAGGTCACGGAGGGGTCTGGAACCTATCCCAACTGCTACAGGGCCGGGTACACCCTGCCAGTCTGTAACAGGGGTTCAACCAGAACCATGGGACCAAAATTATATGTTTGTAACAGGCTACTAATAACAAAGTGCCTAGAGATACAATTTAAGACAGGTTTGTTGCTGAGTTGTCTGTTCTGTGTAGACACAACACTGGTTTATCCCTTGAGTTAAAAGGTGAAAAGGCAGACAAAACTTTGAAAGAGCGTCAGAAAGCCTGGAGAACTATTGCTCGAGACCAGTTTTTAAAAATTCTGGCTCCTTGGAAGAACGACAAAAAGTAGCTCAAGACTTTTGCACAATATTAAAAAATAAATAAATATCAAAACTTACTGTACTTGTTTATATTAATTGAGGGGTGTGTATTGGTTTTAATGTGCTCATACATACAAGAATGCTTATTTTGTGCCACCAAGGAAATGATGGAGGTTGGTACTGGATGAGGAAGTCAGGAGTAGGGTGAGGGTGATGGAAGACATGCATGAGGACAGGTTGAGTTTAGAGACTAAGTTGGTGAGGCAAGGATGATATGTTTTGGACATGCACAGAGGATGCTAATAATGAAGCTACAAGGCATGAGAAAATAAGGAAGACCACTGAAGAGGTTCATGGATGTGGTGAAGGAGGACACAAAAAGGGCTGAGGTGGCTGATGCGGCAACCCCTAAAGGGAGCAGGTGAAAGGAGAAGAAGGGACATATTCTACTTTTTACTTTTTTATGTAATACTAGTAGTTAACTTTAAAGTTAATATTTACTTAAAAACATGAGAGTGCAAACCTCCACAAGGCAGTTCACTCATGAATAACTTGAGCTTGCAGCTCATTCTCTTTCTCTTGACAGTACTTATTTTAAAGATATAATGCATTTTTGGGTCAAGGTGAAAGAAAGGCAGATATGAAATGTGACATGATATTTGGATGCAAACTAGTGTGCATCCAAAGTGTGATATTGTGGTCAGAGGTCAAACGTGACATTTCAGATCTTTGTATGGTACATTCTATATGTTGAAAATGCACAGAATACTTACAAGAATCACTGTTTCTAAGTTCTAACACTTTTTTGTCAATTTTCAACCAGTAAATCTCTAAGTTGACCCCAAAGACCTGTTGGATACAAGTCAAATTTTAATAGCTTGTAAACATGGCCCCACTCTACACCCCTACAAAGTTTTACCAGAATTCATTCAAAACTTTTCAAACTATCGTGCTTGCAGACAGAAAGAATGTCATGCATGCAAATGCTACCAAAAACATGACTTCCTTGCCGGAGGTAACAATTCCCGTCTGTCAGGCTGGGTATTGTGCTACTATTTTGCCATCGTACTTAAAGCCATCTGCTTTTCTGTTTTTCAGAGTGGGAAAACCGTTCTTGCAAATTTTCTCTCAGACACAACAGAAAATGTGGGCGGTGAATACAGACCTACTCAAGGAGTCAGGTACAAATCCTATGTGAGCTTTACTGCTTTCAACATTAAGCCACTCCGAGTGTGACTTTAGTGTAAAAATCAGTCATCGCAATGACAAGATTGAACCAATATCATAGCCTTCCTTGACAGATATCAGTCTTTGTGTGTAAAAATACAAAGTGCAGCTACTTTCTGTTGTTTCAAGGATACTGGAATTTGAATCACAGCCTGAGGGCAGCAGTGACAAGTCGTGCGAGGTTGAACTTTGGGACTGTTCAGGGGATTTCAAGTAAGTGGAGGCACAGATGTTATCCTTACCTTTATGTGACAATTAAAAGAAGTGTTGTTACTTACGATGTAATATGGTAGTAAAATGTATTTTCATACAGATTTGAGTCATGCTGGCCTGCAATCATGAAGGACTCCAGCGGTGTGGTGATCATTTTTAACCCTGATGTTCCAAGTCACCTCAAAGAAATAGAGACGTGGCATTCGATGTTCATCTCCTCTCAAGATCTGCAGGACAGCCAGTGTCTGCTCATAGCTCACCACAAGCCTGGCAGTGGAGTGGAAGAAAGACGGCTGCCTTTAGGTAACTTGTGCTGCAGTCCTCTGAGAGTCATGAGAATCATTATCTCTGGGCTAATGCAGTCACATTTTCTTGTGCAGCGTCACATCTAAGCAGACTGCTGCTCATTCACTCCAACCTAGAAGAAGAGCCAGAGGATGTAAGGCAAGCTTTCTGCAGATACCTGGGAAACGTCGTGAACGCGATGTCGGAGAGTCGAGAGCGAGAGGAGATGTCCATCATTACGTAGCAGTAGCATCTATAAAATATGCGGCCTGAATTAAGATGTGTTTTGTTGCCATCTGCAATACTACCACATTTTCACTCTAAATTATACATGTATGCAAACTTTAATATTCTCTACAATAGGTGTAGAACATATTCAGCGTTGGTTTCTTGCATTTTGTAAATCTTTTATGAATAAAATATGACCCAGTTCTCTCTTGAAATTAATACTCGAGACACAAAATCTACTCCTGTATACAAACATCTGTTTATTTGGAAGAATTTGGTGCAGGCTGTTGAGAATGTAATGACTGGAAAAGCAAGAGGAGGAAGAAAAGTTCATTTTTCAGACATCATATCCAACAATGCCTCCTTTGCCAATGCACTCTCCGATGTAGAACCACATCAGCACCTCAGTGGTCACCAGTCCATTCCTTATGGCATCCTGCAAGGAAACAACAAGTTGTCACTCAAGAAAACTCCTTAAATGTTTCTAGAATAACACACTCAGTAACAGTCCCTGCATGAGGCCTGATAATGTAACACAAAGAGGGTTTTGTAAGTAATTGTTGACATTTTATTCAGCTGGTGTTACTGCACTTGTGATGGTGTGTTTACCTATTTTTACTTTAACACGTTTTGTAAAGGTTTGTGTGTGTGAGAGACCCACAATGTTTACGTTGAGACAGTGAAACAGACTTTGTAAAGGATAAAGGATAGTAATAACTATCACATGTGCTTTAATAAAGATGTTAGTCAGTTAGTGTTTTAAGTTTTCCAACTCAAAAGCACAATATCCACTGAGTGACCAATGTATCAAGGGTCAATGTTGGGCCATGAAATTAAAAAAAAAAAAAAAGTCCCACCTCACCATCACAGATTTGCATGAAAAGGGCAAAGTTAATGGGGATTTCAGGTCCCTACAGTGAGATATTACATTTTATTTTAAAAGAATAATAGATGAAGGTAGGGTTTTTTTTAAAACCTAATATATTGTTTTTCCCAATTACATAAACTACTTAAATTGCCCTCAAATGTTACGGCAATATCTCGTGCCATGGCTATATGAATATGGACTCTCACAAGTGTAGCTAAAGTTAGCAAAGAGGGATGCTTAAAGTCCCTAAAATAGGTGCGAGGTGTTTGATGAACTCATCTGGAATGACCCTCAAGCAAAATTCACAACCTACTGGTAAATATTCAAAATAGGTACTTTCTGGTGCCCAATATAAAATCGAATCACTCAGGGCCCTGAACTCCCACAGCTACACGGAAGCACACATCTGTCAAACTATTTGTTCATTACAAATTACAGGCTGGCCATTCCTTCAAGGTCTACTTTCTGTGCAGCCAAGTTAATCTAAAAGGTCAACAGAGGTTAATCGACTCAGTTCAAACTTACTTTCACTGTAGTTTGTCCCAGGCGTCCCGTCT